GAGTCAGCTTGGCCCGGTTGCGATAATCGGCGCTGGCGATGCACGTTCGTAGTCTTGTCGCTAAACAGCGACCCTCGCCACCCCGGCGGGTGGCAGAGACCTCCGCGTCGGCAGGGGCCGACCCACGCAGGGGCGAGTTGAGCTGTCAAGCGGGTCTTGCCCACCTGCAGATGAGATGGGGAGCCGCTCCGGGGAGTTGAGCCCCGATGATGATGAGTCGAGCCGACCAGTGGTCGCAGCTCGCTCCTGAGCCGACCCGCAGGTCGAACTGTAGATGAGCTGAGCTCTGCTGATGCTGATGAGATGGCGAGCTCAGCTGATGGGCTCAGCTGAGCTGAGCTCAGCCGAGCCGAACCGGACTCCGATGAGCTGGCCGAACTGAACTTTCAATGCGGCAGCGTCCTCTTTTATGCCAAAATCCTTCCTCTTGACTCCTCCCCACAAGGTAGGGCTTCTTTTGGATTTATCGGTGTCTCGTGGTCTGGGGCGTGTGTCCGTCTGTGTGTCCTTGTGTATGTGTATCCTTGTGTGCGTCATTTACGGCCTTGTTCTATTGATTTCTCTTTCCATAGACCGTCAAAAACAGCAGGTGTTACGAATCGTCTCAAGGCGTCTTTGTCTGTGTGGCACAACTTTGAGGGAGGCGGGATTCTCCCCTGTGTGGCCGACTCTCACTGCTTCCCAGACCCAGGCCCCCTCTTTCATACCATCAAAACAACAGGCGTTTCAAATGATCTCACAGGCGTCTTTGTCTGTGTTGCACGACCTGGAGGGAGGGGCGACGTTCCCTCATACGACCTTTACCGACGCACGGAGAAATGGTTAAGTTTTTCTTAAGTTAACATTTTCATCACAGACTTACAGTTATGATTCTGCACGTGACTCGAGGTCTGCTGTGTTTGCTGTGTCAGTCTTCCATCGTGGCTCTTGACTTTAGCTCCATGGAAAGTGCTCCCTTAAGCGTATGTATACTCTCATCATGTACGGCAGGGAGACAAAGGCGGCCGGGAGACCCTCTTTTTCCTTGGCCCTTGGTTTAACCCCGCTCAAGTATCTGCAAGGCCATGCCAGCAGGACATAGCTCATGGCCTTTAAATGAAACTCCCTGTCCCACTCTCTCACTGTCTGTCTCAGTCTCTGCCCCATTTTCGTGCAACTGCTAGCTTTAGCACAGACAGCCTGTGGTAACTCTCTCAGTCTTCCCTTCAGGGCTGCTCTTTGAGCTGTTTTTCGTTCTACACACGCCGTGCATCTCAAGGCTCCTCATTAATTTCCGTCTGGCTGTGGTGGGGAAGTGTTATCTCTGTTTTCGGCCTTGTGAACACAGGTGCTGAAATAATTGCTTGGCGTCTGTCCTCTCTCTCACGCTACAATCTAGACAAAGGCGCCTCTGCTCCTCTTCCATTTCCCTTGGGTTAACACTGTGCTATTATTCGCCTATGCTAAGGTTAGGGAATTCGTTTTGACTTTAGTAAAAATTCTGTGTTTGTCATACACTTCGGTCAGGTTGTACAGGAACTTATTAAAGATGAATTAACATTCAGTATTGGATTAGCAAATGGGCAATAATTCATTGCTCTAGCTCGTACCCTTGTCTCCAATTGGAGCGAGCACGAGGATCGATAGTTTAGCCTACTCCTGTTGTCGAATTTTGAACTTTAACGCTAGAAGATGCAGAATAAATGGTTGAGTTTTTTTTGACCCACCTATATCTAGGCTAACGTGAACTCTCCGCGACCCAAGGCACCGCTTGCTCTCAGCTGTGTTTTTTTTTAACAGCCCATGCTGGTTGGAAGGTTGTCCTTGGGGCCTAGGATTTATTCAATTTATTTATTTAATTATAAGGTGGAGTGTTAGTGTCAATGTTGTCTGCCTCATTATTTAATTTCAAAACAACAGCCCTCTCATGGCCTCCACGTGCAGTTTGTTTAGGTTAGCCCTACCTTGCACACAGATAGCCTGTGATAATTGCCTTGCAATTTCCCCAACCCAATTATTGCCGAAATCTGCTGCTGAGTTCGTTAGCACGCTCTTATCTCCGCTTTCACCCGCTACGGGAAGACAAGGCGTCTTATTGGATTACGTGTTGTTTTTCAGTTACTATGCTCTTGTTTTTATTCATTAATTATTTCGAGAAAAAAGGTATATATGTATAAGAAAATTTCTTGTTAATATTAATTTTGGAAAAAGGCACATATCCAACAAAACGACGCAGTTTTTTTACGTATTTCTAAGTTTAACGATGCTTTCCTTTTTTGTTGAACCGTAACACATTTCATAGCACTCACCGTATGTGCATTTAAATACAGTGCGTTGCAACTTACGAACTGTCCCATTTACGAACGGGTCTCAGGAATGGAACACGTTCGTAAGTCAAGGAATGCCTCTAATGAATTATTATTCAAGGCAGCTTGGCCTTGGGGTGAAGTGGCTAGAGAGCTTCGTGGACACGAGTGTCTGTGGGTTTCCGTGCAGGACTGAGTTTCCGTGCGAGTCTGGATCCCCGTGCGAGTCTGTTGGCCACCGCATGAGTCTGTGGGTCTTGGAGTCTTCGGGTGTCTGAGGCTATAGACCACTGTGAGTCTGTGGGTGTTCATGTGAGTCGGGTCTCGGCTGGAGACAGGGCAGGGGCTGCAAAGAATCACTGGGTTATGAACCGAGCACCTTCTGAATTGAACATCGCTACACTTACACACGGACTCTGTGACGCAATTCTAACCTTGTTTGGAATGGAGACAGAATTGCCAGAAATAAATTGAGAATGAGTTAAAAATTCATCAATAATTGATCAACTTTAAGTAAATAATGATTTGGTGAATGATTGATGAAGTGAATGAACAGATTAAATCATCATGAATGGATTACTTAATGAAGGAATTAATCGATTAATGGTGAATGAACACACACTATACATACATTATATGCATCAGCAGCACATGCACATATATAAATACTAGCTTATTTGCCCGTCCTAGGATGGAAGCTGTAATAGTAAAGATGCAAATTAACGTTTTATTGTGATTGTTCATTTTATTAGGAAATGTCGCACGTAAATACAATTTTGTTAACTAATTAAATGAAATTAAGGACTTTGGAAGATTTCTCGGCATACAATATCTTATCACTGTTCAAAAGGTTTCCCTGCAGTTGGCTATTCTTGATGAACACTTTGATCAACTGAGGATATTTAGATCTAGACAGAGCCACATACAACTGGCCATGGGAAAATACAGATTCATTGAGATAAATACCCAAATTTTGAAAAGTCTGACCCTGCGACTTGTTGCTCGTCATCACATACGCAGGAATGATCGGAATTTATCGTCGTTTCAGTATGAAAGGAAGAGTGACATCACTTGGAGTTAGGTCGATTCTTGGGATGAAGACGATTTCGCCCCGGTTGCAAAGGCGATCAATCTCTGTGGCTGTATAATTTGAAAAAAACCGTAACTTCACTTTGGCACTGTTTTCAAATTACCTGAAGCTGTTAACTGACAAATTTATCTTCTGGACGCTTGATAGCGAAGAGTGAAGAAAGTAGCGTGCTGATGCTGTCTGAAGTAACTTAGCAAATAACGGAGACCAAAGAGAAGCATTAGAGTTTCGAATAGATTTATCAGAGTATAATTTTATCTTGTCTAAATGTAATGGCAGGGAATATTTAAAATAATTTCATAAAACACTTCACTGCATTTCACTGTAGCACTGTATTAATGGCAATGAATGTTGCACAAAAGGAAGTCATAAAACACCTCACAGCATTTGACCGCAGTACTGCATTAATGACTGGTTGTTGCATGCAACTGCAGGGGTGTTTCGCGAAGAGAACACACAGTCACATCATGGTGGCTACAACCACGTCCGTTATAGCCCTGCCCCTCAGTGGGGTATGGGTATAAAGGGCGGGGAGCCAGAGAGCTCGGGGCAGTGTGTTGGAGCCAAGAATGAAGAACCAGTGAAGAAGGAAGGCCGGCTAGATAGACCCTGGGACTCCCTGACCGCTGCCCTTGAGGGCCAGCAGGGTAAGCCAGTAGTGCGGCCCCAGAGCCTCAGAGCCAGAGCCCTTTTAAGGGTCGGTCTGGTTGGTGGGGTGCCGTGACCTGTGCCATGACCAGGGCCAGTTCAGATAGCCTCCTCTAGCGCCTGTAGCGGAGGAACTGGGAGCACAGGAATTAGGCTAGATAGCCTAGAGGGTGTCCCAGCATGTATTCGCGTGAAGGGGCCGTTACCCCTTCCAGTGTAACCCTTGCCAAGCTTGAATAAACAGTGCTGCCTCTACTCCACCGTCTCCGTGTCCCGTGAACCCACTACACAACTATGTCATAAAACACCTGACGTAATGTCACAGTAGCACTGTATTTAACGGACGTTCAATGACTTGCAATTCAATGCTCTGATACTTATCTTCCACATTCGCTCGCTGGGGTTGAAAACAATTAGAATTTGTGGGGGCTGACGTCTGCCCCACCGCCCTCGCTGGGTAGGTGGGGCACTGCGTTCGCCCCCTCCACTCCCTCCTCTACCGCCTTGCTCAGCTTGTGCCGGGCCCCCGCCGATCGGGTGATCAGCCTTCCCGCGCTTGCGCCCTCTCGGAGAGACATGGCTGACTTACTGGCTTACCACTGTAAAGGGTTAGTCCTCACTCACTTGCACCCACCACCCCTAATGTTCACACGGCGGCGAGCATGCGTGTGCTCCCGCTGGCGATTATATTCTTATACGCGCACGCCCCACAGTCAACGCTACAGCAGCTGCGCGAACGCGCGCGTACCTGCAGGCGATTATATCAATGAGCGCTCGTGCTGCGACTCTGCCCTCACTCTCGCCGCGCGTCTGCCCACGCAGCCGCTTCACGCATAAATCACTCACACCACACCGAGGCTCTGTGCTAACGTTTATTCAAGGCGCAAACCCTGCACTGCCCGGAGGAAAAATTCTGTGAGCAGAGCCTAGCCTACCGCTATCCAAGTCCCCAAACACTCACACGCCCTATCACGTACCTCGCAACTGTACTCACGGCGTCACACAGACACTGTGAGAGTCGGAAGGAGAATGACGAAAAAACCTTGCTTATCACTGTAGCAGCACTCGCTGGCATCACACGGATGCTGCGAGTGGCTCGAGGAGGCAGGACGGTGCTCCCGCTGGCGACCAAGCTGTTGAAGAGGAGAACTGACCTGAACCGTTTTGGGCTCCGCTTTTTATGCCCCTTGATTAAAAAAAAACATCCGGGGGTTACGTTATCCTGCGTAGCCAATCGTGCGCCTACCTGTGATTTTCAAACGTTTTTCTGCCCTTCCATAGAGCGTTACGTTACATTATTTCAGCCCATTGTCTCTGCGCCCATACTCATTAATCCCTGACTCAGCCAGTTTAATCTGGGGGGGGGGGGGGCGTCCATCTGGCGAATACACACCCGATAATAAAGTATTAAAGCTTTCGTGACTGCATAAAATTACTCATTGTTTTTTTCGGTAAAGTCACGTATGTAGAAATACAATAAAATTATATTAAAACAAAAACAATCACGACGTTTTGATCACAACGCAAGCGATCTTCATCAGGTGTCAAGAACAAATCACGGAGGTAAATACAACAACAAAAAAAGATGAGAGACGAGAATTCAACAAACCTGAAAAAAACATGTGAAGCACATCCAGTCAGGCCAACGACACAGACACTTCCTGGCGGACCACGAATTTCAGAAGTGTTAAATTTCGTGTTCAACCTTTGTATTGCACATACCAGCATAGATAGAATGAAAAATACGAGGTACACGGTCGGTAGAAATACATATACAAGTCCACTAAGAGGTAAGGAGGGAGGAAAGACGGACAGGGAGGCAGAGAGAGAGGGGGGGTGCCGGAGGGATGAACAGAAGCTTAAATAGGAAATACGGTTGGAGGGGGGGAGGGGCCAGAGCGAGAGCGGCAGCTCAAACGCACATCTTACACATACAAAACGGCAGCTCAAAAAAGGACCACCTCTTGTAAATACAAAACGGCAGCTCAAAAAATGACCACCTCTTGTAAATACAAAACGGCAGCTCAAGATGTGCCCTTTGATTGAAACGTCGTGATTGTTTTTTGTTTTAATATAATTTTATTGTATTTCTACATATGACTTTACCGAAAAAACAATGAGGAATACACACCCGGTTAGTGTGTACTTGGTCGGTGACGCTAGGATCTCCCCGACCTCATCGACTGCTCGCTTAATATTTCACCCCAGCCCTTTCCCCGATGTCTTGCGTGACTCATTGCGGCTGGCCCGGTGAAGCTTTGTGTGCCCATACAATTCTAAGCCAATTTAGGGGTGCTGCATTCTGATTTGTCCTGGGAGGGTCGGCCAATCTCCTGGCACCGGGAAACCGTGGGAATTCTCACCTAGGGGCCCTTCGGATGAAAACCCATTGTGCCACGTGATCCTCCCGCCGGGATACTACTTGTGTGTGCTGCGTGGGTGCGTGTGCTCGGGGGGGCGGTAAGGGGGAATCGTGGCACTTGCAGAGTTGCTCCGCGGTTGTGGCACCACAAATTCGATACAATGTCTGCAAAGTAGCAGAGAAATGTTTATTGTAGTATAATTTGGAAGTGTAAAGTAGACTTACCTTTTTTTGGACGTGCCGAAGAAATAAAGGCACCAAATGTACTGTGATGTGGCATGGAATAATTTATTGCCTTCACTTGCTATAAAGATACGAAAAATCGAAAGCGAATCTGCGTAAAAAACATTTTCATAGCCGCTCGACCTTCTGCCTTAGTCCAAAAGTGCAGGCACACATGAATAATAATGAGGGGGGCGCATGTGGAGTGACGTCACGCGTGGGAGAGACACAGCCTTTTTTTGGCTCGTTACATTAGTTGCTGTGTTGATTTCTTTATTAGCTTTAGTTTCCATAAAGAAAGGTCAAAATGAAAGCTAATTTGCGTAAACAAATTTTCGTTTCCGCTCCACCTTCATGCGGAGTGACGTCACCCGTTCATGATTATTAATGATGGGGGGGGGGGTCCATGTGGAGGACCCCACCTGTTTATGAATGAGGGGGCTGGTCGACTTGGAGTGACGTCACGCGCGTTACACACAGACATTCTTGGCTCATGATATTAGGTAATGCACTCAGAATGATATGAATCCAAATCCAGAGTCAATTGGGTTTTGACTCTTTGCTAGGATGCGACCAATCCTAATCCGTGACTTGGAAATACACGTATATGGACGTCTGTGAAAAAGAGCTTCGCAGCTCATCGGATTCCTCCAGGATAAATAAACATTCTGACTCCGATCTCCCTGAGCGCGAGGAACTCGGCCGTCGATTGGTGGCCCTGAGTGCGAGCGACTTGGCCGTTGATTGGTCGCCCTGAGAGCGAGCGACTCGGCCGTCGATTGGTCGCCCTGAGCGCGAGCGACTCGGCCGTCGATTGGTCGCCCTGAGCGCGATCGACTCGGCCGTCGATTGGTCGCCCTGAGAGCGAGCGACTCTGCGGTCGATTGGTCGCCCTGAGCGCGAGCTATCCGGCCGTCGATTGGTCCGCCCTGAGCGCGAACTACTCGGCCGTCGATTGGTCGCCCTGAGCGCGAGTTACTCGGCCGTCGATTGGTCGCCCTGAGCGCGAGTTACTCGGCCGTCGATTGGTCGCCCTGAGAGCGAGCGACTCTGCGGTCGATTGGTCGCCCTGAGCGCGAGCTACCCGGCCGTCGATTGGTTGCCCTGAGCGCGAGCTACTCGGCCGTCGATTGGACGCCCTGAGCGCGAGTTACTCGGCCGTCGATTGGTTGCCCTGAGCGCGAGCTACTCGGCCGTCGATTGGACGCCCTGCTCTGCCATGGCGGACACGGAGCGGGTTGGTTTCGTTGTCGCGACTGAGGCGAGTGGCCGCTGGCGTGGGGACGGATTCCCTCTCGGCGACTTCGCGCTTTCGCACGGACGCTGCTTGGCGCAGCCGTGTGGGCGCGCGTTTGGGTGAAGGTTTTGGGGCTCCCTCGCGCGGCCTTCAACGCCGAGTAGTCTGTGATGAGGGAGCGCGCGAACCCCGGTGCAACTACAACGGCTGTGTAACGGCTTAGGGAGTCGTCGTCGTACAGTGCTGCAGGGTGTCTGTAGCACAGCAGCAGCACCTCGCGCTGTCACCTTGCGCTATCGTGGGCGGATATTCTATGATCGACTTCGGGCCCGGCCCTGTCGCCCTTTCATATGCTGCACTTACCAGCGTGTTGAACTATGGTCGAACCCATCCCCATGGCATGGTGGTGGGGAAGCGGCGACTGGCCAGGGTTTGTCAGTAGCCATGCTCTGTCCACTGCTGCAACAGGGCCGCCGCCGTCATCTTCGTGCTCCCTCAAACAAGCGCAGTAGTAACAACAGCAGCACCGCAATGATGATGACGCACTGGCCTTATTGAACCAATAATGTGCGGATTAAAGCAGTTTGTTTTTTGTTTTGGTCGCACTACTTGCTCTCACCGAACGTGCTTGCCATGCATGGCGCAAGGGTCAACGTGGAACTTTGCGTATTGGCAAGTACTGTACAGTACTTCGTGCTATTCCCACGACTTGTAAATACATTATCTTTGGACGCTAATATGTAGGATTGAAGCAGCAGTATTTTTGTTGGTCCCGTTACGTTTTATCTGACCGTGCAGTTTCTGTCTCATTTCAGGAGGTGGATGCTGTAATAGGCAATGCGTCAAGAGAACATTTAGTAAGTGGAGTTGAATGTTGAGATCAATGTTCTGTCATTTCCTCGAAGGGTGCACAACGCAACATTTGATGGCCTGCCAAATACCTGCATAGGTTCCGGCTGGTTCCAAATCCGAAAAGTAAAATCTTACCAGGTGTAACTATAGTGAGAAGTGAGATGTGAATGACAGATAGAGAGATAAGAGATGCCATGGATGCAGTGAGATATGAGCTGTAGATTCAATGGCGATGTAGGGCTGGGTATCATCAGTAGAGAACAATGGTTGCAATTGAACCGGGTCCAAGTCGGGCATAACAGACGAACCTCTGGCAATACTTGATTTGTTACTCGTATTGTTGTGGATCGGTGGATTGTGAGAATTGACCTCAAATGTTACCAGCATTTACTTTGGCTCTCCACTCTCATTACGTTATACTGTTGTGAACACTGAGGACACCACATGGCTTACCAATAGTTTCGATTTAAAGCTTTCGTGACTGCAAGGATTCATCTTCTTTGGTTCTTTCGGTAAAGTCACGTAAAATGAGAATAAAATAATAAATTGATTATTGTGTTATTTTATTTTATCAATTTATTATTTTATTCTCATTCTACGTGACTTTACCGAAAGAACCAAAGAAGATTACCAATAGTTCTGAAACATGCGGACAGTAACATAGTTCATTTATTTGGTATAGCCCTGTGAGCCATTCGGCTCTTGAATCGGGTGCAACCGCAACAAACAAAAAAACCAGGTTCTCACTATTAGACCTTACTCCAAAATATTGCGCGTAAAGGGGATGTTTGTGGTTCTGTGGACAGGTTGATACAGCCTTCAAATTCCTGAAAAATCCACGAGTGGCTGGAAGTCCTCCAAATATACAGAGGGCGTTCCTACGCAAGAAAGGTGAGTGTCACGGGAGGCTCGGGTCCGAGAACCCAGGGCCCATGTGGGGTCCTCCAGACCCTTGCTCTCCATGTGTACAACATTTGTGAAACCAGGACGTCTTAGGGTATGTACCATGAGTGGGGTTGCGATGGTGAGATCCGCCTTCCGAGATTAGGCGTCGAGACAGGTGGGGTTTGAGTTCACTTTTAATAGAGCTCACCCCTCCTCCAGGATATTATAGATAGGGCAGAGTGCCAGCACAACCCGAACATCCTGCTCCACCTAACACACCGACGCAATTACACTCGCACATATACAATTACAAACTCGTGCTCAGCCAGTTTGGTACAAAGGTTATCGGACACTAGCCGACGTATCAACAGTGTAAAATATGAGTAGCACCACGCTGGTTACCTCGATTGTAGATTTATCCATGCAAATACCAGTAGCCTGATGTTAGCGTTACCTACATTTTTGGGTCAAATTGACTTGGTCTGAGACTAGGGAAGCCCCTAGATAACTAGCTGTGACTTCTGTACACCAGCTAGAAGTCCTGCTTACACATTGCTCAGCCAAAATTAGTTATAGGCACATTCAGTTCCACACCATTCTGTGCAGCCATCACCATGTGCCTACAGTTACCGCTCCTGTGTTCATTTGTCAGTGAAAAACCCACGGTTCATAACAAGCACTCTCAGTACCCTTAAGTACAGCTCATGCCCGCCTATAACCACAACGCTATGCTGCACAAAACTGCGGCTCCGAAGCCGCATTCGGCTCTTTTAAGTACTGTTTTGTGACGTTATTTATTAAGGACCAGAAAAAATGGCTCTTGTCATTTAGGGTGCCGACCCCTGGTGTAGTTCCATAGTTCCATAGTTCATTTATTTGGTATAGCCCTGTGAGCCATTCGGCTCTTGAATTGGGTGTTTGGTTCGCTGCGCGTGGTGCTGACGTTTTTTATAAATACACCGTTTAAAAATAAATAAATTAATGTGAACCGACACACCTGATGACGACCGTTTGTGTTATGGTCGAAACGTCGTGAGAATTTTAATTGTTTTATATATATTTTATTATTTTATTGTTTCCCTTCAACGTGACTTTACCGAAAGAGCTAAGAATATTGGGGATGTCACTGTGCAATTTTCCTACGTCGTGGACAGCACTGGGTGGGTTGCTGTGTGAGGCCGGTTCTAGTACAGCACGGCATGCGATGCACCGTCATCGCGTACACCCTGTAGGCGGGTGCAGTACCAGCCCTAGTGGGGCTTGGTGAGCGCTGGGATAGCGCGGGCACCACACATAGCGTGTAGTGCGGGCTCCCACAAGGGGGAGTGTGAGAGTGTCGGCCCAGGGGCAGGGTTGCCCCGGACCATGGCACTCTTGTTGACCCCGTAGACACGTGATCTGGAGTGTCCACAGAGAAGGCCCCAGGTGGGGGGGGCTAGTGGATTATCACGTGTCCAGGGAGAGCTCTCGAGGGGGATTGAGAGGAAGCTAGAACGCTCAAGAAGGCAGGCGGGGCCGAGGGTGGAGCTGCCCTGACCGGGAGGATATAAGGTGGGTCCCTGAGAGGAACCGGGGTCGCTGCATTCTACAAGCTGTGAGCTCTACGTCCTACAAGCAGGAAGCTCTACAGGCATCAGCACGTGGCCGGGACCCAAGTGAGGGTCAAACCCTTCGTAGCTGTAACTCCTCCATATAGGGTAGTTAGCTGGGTGGTCACCACCATGGGCTGTATCTGGTAAAGGGGCAGTTACCCCTTTGTGTTAACGTGTTTATATTATAATCAATGTGTTGCCTCTAAAGAGAAACGCCTGCGACTCAGTTGGACTCAATACATCTGCGAAAAACCTGCATGTTAATGACCAGTAATTAGCAAAATTCTACGTAGGATATTGGATCTCACTGTAAAAATCTTAAACATTCACACGATGTACATCTCACTTCTTTTGTATTTTTGTTTTTTTTGTGTCTAGGTCTGACAGACGTGGAGATAGAGGATGTGTTTCTGCGGGCTGGGGTGCATAGAGGAACCAGCCTCGCTCATGCGCAACATTTGGCCCAGTCTCCTGCAGGACCACCAGCATCACGGCACTGTGAGCGGAACCTTCTGTCACGACCATTCCACTTGGCCTGCACCCACAGGGCTCTCTCAGAGTCCTTGTGTTGTCAACTCTACTTTGATTCTGTCTCTGGAACTCAAAAACGTATGAGAGCCTTGAGAGTAGCTATCTACTTGTTGAATCTCATGTGCTTACAATTACTTTGCTCACCAGCTTGGCGCTGGAGGGACGTAGGCGCTCTGTCAGCTGTCATTGCAGCTATCGGCTTCGGCATCAACCGGCTGTACAAGGCATGCATAGAGCACGAGCACTTGCACTCATGTGAGGCTGTCGAGATTAGAGGCAGGTATCCTACGTAATACACAACACATTTGTGGCGAATGTTATACGAAGCATACAGAGCAGGTATATTTACTATGTGTGAAGTTATCCATTGTTCAAGTGACATCTTTGCAGTGAAAGTGTTATTTACAAAAATCATCCACCCATATTTTATATTAGCGCAAGGTACAATCATCTTACGTCATCTCGAAAGATTAATTTGTTCGCATTTTGTATAGGAAAGATAAATATGAGAATTGTTTACTGTCTGCAGCAATGGGTGTCTTGCTTCTGTGCTAGTATCGACCGACCTGTGTGTGCGTAGTGGCTGGCGGCTGTTCGTGCTGCAGAAGCCCAACGTCTCACTGATGTGGAATCCACTGTCTCTGCAATGGCCGCTTCACTCACCCACGCTGGTGCGTGCATAAGCATAGCAATGCACAATTGTGCATTGCATCCAACCGTTAAAGCGCTTGTAATTCACATTTCCCTACAGTAGTTGACATAACCATCATCAGCTATGTTACTCTACTGCTGGATGAAGGCCTCCACAAACCGTCGCCATGCCTTATAGCCCTGCGATGCGAGTCTGTCTAGCTCCTGTACTCAAGCTGATCTCATGGCTTCATCTCCTCCCGGCTGTGTTCTTTTCGTGGCCATTCTGACTTTCGGCCATCGTCCTTTACAGCAACATGTTCTCCCTGAGCCCTCTAACATTTTTTACAGGTCAATGTGATGTGTTAGGGTTACGACGCTTGTTTACCCAGGAAAGCCTCACTGAGGCCTAGTACAGGTATCCCTCGATTTATGAGAGGGAGCCGTTAATCAAAAACACATGTAAAATTAAATTGAATTAATTGGAATGGATTTTCCCATAAATTTAGGGATGTGTTTCATTCCAATTGTATTCCTTAACCTAAAAATATAACATAAAAATGGTATTAAAGGACATAAATATTTAATTGATTAAATAATTAATTTAACACTAAATAATTAACTTTTATTGTGGAAATTCGATTTCGTTAATCGAAAAGTGTCCATAATTTAACAGCAAATTTCGTAAACAAAAGTTGGGAAATCGAGGGATACCTCCAGTACTCTTTTTTTAGTAGGGTCCTGCCAAGTTTTTTGTAATAGAGGGTGACGTTGTTGCTATATGTTATCCCAGTCAAGTAATTTGCAGGCCTCGCTTAAGTATTGGATTGTTCAGTATAGGATTGTTTAACACCAATTACATCGCATGTGTAAGGACAGTACGGTGTGATGTAGGGACAGTACGGCTCCCCGTGGCCGTAACGGGAACAGACAGGGTCATGTTTGGGACCTAAGTGGTTGCTATGATGATTGATGGGACAAGCGTTGACAGGGTCACATGAGGGGAAGCATGGGACCTAACGGTAGTAAATTGTAATAAGGGCAGAGACAGACAGGGCCAGGTGCGGTAAGAGAGGGTTCGGGAATAGGGGCGTAGCCATGTTGTGAGGGGGATAAGAGCTGGCGTGAACCGGAACGTTGGGCTGCTGTTGTAGGGGAATTGTCACCTTGGAGGGGGTCGTCTTTTCTCATCCTGGAGTGGACACCTTGTAGTGTTGGAAGACTAGCGTTATGTTGTCTCAGAATTGAGTTATCAAAGTTACCCAAGTGTATATAGTCACTCGTAATGTTATCAATGAGTTGGTGGACTTTATTCATAATATATACATATATAACTGAACAAGATGGTGTCTCTGAGAGCTACATTTCACATGTATTTTTTATAACTAAACTTTTTTTTAGGACTAAACTTTGCAGTCACATCTAGACTCATACCAGTTAATGATATCATTGCCCATGTCGACGTGGCACTCAAGGGCCTGGGTCACATCGCTGCAGACGTAGAAAGATCTGAAATCGCTGCAACCCTCAAAAACGCTATGATGCCAGCTAGCAACATCAGCAAAGATGAGCGCTTTGAATTATCTCAATTAAAAAAGAGGGATGACATTGTCATTCTCTCAGCCGACAAGGGCAATGCCACTGTCATCATGGACAAAATAGAATATAACAACAAAATTCAGGAACTGCTCAACGATGGCAGCTACACCAAAATAAGAAGAGACCCCACCAACAGCCTCGTTACTAAAACCAACAAAATCATTTCTGATTCAACAGCATTAATTGATCAAACCAAACAGTTCTCGTTGAAACCTTCTGCGGCCAGGCCACCAAGATTATATGGCCTTCCAAAGATACATAAAGAAGATACACCCCTTCGTCCCATCATCTCTACTATCAACTCCCCCACCTACAAACTGGCTTGTTTTCTGTCTGAAATCCTGCGGCCTTTTACTGGAAAAACCACCTCTGTGGTACTAAACTCTACTCACCTGGTTTCGACAATCAAGGGTATTTTCCTGTCCCCAGACGACCTGCTTGTCAGTTTTGATGTGGTTTCCCTATTCACCAAAGTTCCTGTACCTGACACCATCGCAATCATTGAAGACTTGGTTCATGAAGGACTGCATACTGATGTACCCCCCTGGTGAGACACTGCTTAACCAACACATACTTCACCTGGAATGGAACTTTGTACAAACAAACTGAGGGCACCCCAATGGGCTCCCCCCTATCGCCGGTTGTAGCCAACGTTTTCATGGAAAAATTTGAGACTGACGCCATCCAGACTGCCACTCTACGCCCGACCTTATGGAAGAGGTACGTGGATGACACTTTTGTCATCTGGCCACATGGCCGGCCTGCTCTAGACCAATTCCTCGACCACATCAATTCCATACACCCAGCCATCAGATTTACCATGGAAGTCGAAAAAGATGGCAAGCTACCCTTTTTGGATTTCCTAATTAAAAGGAGACCTGATGGTTCAATGATCCACTGTCTACAGGAAAGCTACTCATACAGATGCTTACTTAAAATCGGATTCCCACCACCATCCATCCCAGAAGAATTTCCTCATCAAGACTCTATACCATAGAGCCCAATGCATTTCCGACCAGGAACACATTGCTCGTGAACTCAAGCACGTACACCAAGCTCTCAAGGATAATGGTTACTCCGACTACACAATCCGCAAAGCCATCACTCCAACCATGAAGAAGGATCCTCTTGAGCCATTCAAAACCATCACCTTACCCTACATTGCGAGGGTCACAAAAAAGATCTCCAAAATCCTGAATAAACACAAGATCCTGGTCCGATTCAACACAGTACATAAAATCCATGATCTGGTTCCGCCTGTAAAAGATGTGGTTCCAGACATACAGTACCCGGGCGTCTACAAACTAAGTTGCCTCTGTGGTAGCAGCTATATTGGAGAAACCAAACGACATATCTCGGACCACATCCGTGAACATAAAGTAGACTTGAAACACGGTAGGACGAACACCTCAGCCGTGGCAGATCACTGTTATAATTCACTGGGCTCACATGACATTGACTTCTCCAAGACGGAGGTTCTCTGCAAGCCATCCGGCTACCATGAGGGATTCGTTCATGAGGCTATCCACATATACAAACACAGAGACAATTTCAACCGAGAAGATGGATTCCGGCTTAGTAACCATTGGAAAGACGTTATAAACCATTTCGGTTCTTGATTGATTGTATTTTACGGTGACTTTCAGACTGCAGTCCATTCGCTGGCACTGCCTCTTAGTACCTTTCACACAACGGTCAATAGTATAGTTTATAGCATTTTGTATAATAATAAATAGTATAACAGTGTAATGTTTAACATAATTCATAAGGCAATATATAGTGCCGTAATTCTATAGTGAATATACAGCAGTGTGGTATACAGTAGGGTTAGTAGAATAATACATAGTGTAATACTACAAGTCTAATATTTTATAGGCTAAAGTATAGGGTAGTGTATGGTAACGCATTGTATAATTCATGGGTGGGGTTTGTCTATGGATACGATATTATACAATGTAGTTTAGATTGGAAGATATAATAGTGTAATGTATAGTAGTCTAGTTTATAGCATAGTTATAACGCAACAACTCAGGTGTCTTTCTCTGTGCCGTTTGTTCTCCCTCTATTCTGCTTGGGTTTGCTCTGAGGTCTTTGATTTGTATGTATGCATGTTGAACTTCTTTCACTCCGTTCATAGCCAACCGTGCGAATCGGATTTCCTCCCATTTGTTATTAATTGACTGAAAACATTTTAGAATAAAACTCAAATGCAGGAGCCTGAAAAGAGTCCTATGACTTGCTGGCTTTATTATTAATATCATTAATAATTATAATTGGTATTGGCCAAACATGGCAATGATGAAAAATCACGTGCAAATCACTTAATTGGGTTTACACAGAGCAACTTTGTTCCCGACATGCGAGCACTTGGCAGGACCCTCCTGAAAAAGAGTATTGAGATCCAATGAGGGTTTCCAGGGTAAACAAGCGTAAATGAAAATAAATGCAATAACACTATACATGTGGCTTAAGATGTTTGTATAATGTGTTTAGTGACACAACTACAGACAAGTGTCGCAGGGACCCACGAGCTTTTGTCACGTCAACAAAAACAGTTGGAGCGGCTGACAGATGACACCGCTGTATCCAAGGTAAAACGTGCGAACACTCATCGTATGAAAGAAGGTGGTGAAGTGGTAGCACTCGTCCCCTCACAGCAAGTATGCGCCTGGGTTTGATTCGCTACTCAGGTACATTTCTGCGTGGTGTTTGTATGTTCTCCCTCTGTTCTGCATGGATTCCTCCATTTTCTGTGATGTCCTCTCATAATGTAATTGGTAGTGGTCAGAACGTGGCAGTGCTGAAAAAATACCTGCAAACTACTCAATTGGGATTATACACGGCAGCATCATGCCTCCTACTGTGAAAACTTGGCAGAATCCTCCTGAAAAAGAGTCTTAAGACTGAACCTTTCTTGAGTAAAGTGTAATAATCGACTTATCTATTCCCTACAACCTTCGGCTGCTAGACCACCCAGATTTTATGGCCTTCCAAAAATCCACAAAGTAGGTACCCCGCTCCGTCCTATCGTCTCCACCATTAACTCATCCACCTACAAATTGGCCCGATGTCAGCAGTTACATTGGGGAAACGAAACGACATGTCTCGGACCGCGTTCATGAACACAGGGCAGATCTGAAACACGGTAGGACCAATACCTCTGCCGTTGCTGATCATAGTTTTAACGCTGTGGGCTCACAAAATAGATTTTTCCAAGACGGAGGTACTCTGCAAACCTACTGGCTACCTTCAGAGATATGTTCATGAAGCCATCCAGATATATAAACACAGACACAACTTCAACTGAGAAGATGGTTACAAACTGAGCAATCATTGGAAGGACGTTATTAACCAGGTAAAGTCTTAACTGACTGTGATGTTTCCATCGTACCTGCCTATGTCAGCTGTTATTTCCGACTCTCTGTCTCTCTATGCCTCTCTCTTAGATCTCTCATGCTCACGTGTCCTTTGCATTCCACTCCCATGCCTTTGGATTACAGTCATGCTCACATGTCCTTTGGATTGCACTCTCATGAACACATGTCCTTTGGATTGTGCTCTCATGCCTTTGGATTACACCACTCTTTGTTCTTACATTAACATGCTAATCTCTCACATTAACATAGCCACTTCCATGCCCTCGTTGAGGAGGCTGCTCTCCGTTCTTACAGTTACATGCACATTCTTGGATTGCACCACCCTTCGTTCTTACATTAACATGCTAATCTCTCACATTAATATAGCCACTTCTGTGCCCTCGTCGAGGAGGCAGCAGCTGTTATTTCCGACTCTCTTTGTCTCTCTCTCTCTCTCTATGCCTCTTAGATCTCTCATGCTCACATGTCCTTTGCATTGCACTCATGCCGTTGGATTGCACTCTCATGCTCACATGTCCTTTGGATTGCGCTCTCATGCCTTTGGACTGCACCACTCTTTGTTCTTACATTAACATGCTAATCTCTCACATTAACATAGCCACTTCCGTGCCCTCGTTGAGGAGGCCACTCTCCGTTCTGAGTTACATGCTAATTTCTCACATTAACATCACTAGCACCGCCCACTTCTTTATGACCCTTGGGCTACACCCATTTCAAACCTTTTAAAACAGTCTGCCTCAGCAGCTCATGCTTTCCCACCTGATGATGGACGTTTGTGTTGCACCCAAAACGTGATTTATTTTATTTTATATCTACATGACTTTACTGAAAGAACCAAAGAGTATGGATTCCTGCAGTCACGAAAGCTTCAAATCAAGAAAGTATAAATAAAAATACTCAGCAATGAGATATACATGGAACCGCCTGATGTTTCCGTTTGCCAGAAGCCTTCCAGCAAAATTTACCCAGACACGCATATTTTACACTTCCAACATTAATGACTAGATTCCTACATCTGTCACCACCCTCAACCACTGTATGGGCTAGGTGTGATCTGTACCTGCCTTAATAGGTGCTAACTTGTCTAAACATTTTATGGGGCTAAACTGGGGATTGTTGTCTTTTCATGTGTGTGTGCAGGCCAGTGGTCCATTGCTTGCAGATCTTCGAACAGAAATAGCTTCTATTAAAGGTCTCATGCTGGGGAGGTATGTTGCCAAACCTCCCGAATGTTAAGAGCAACCCAAAAGTGGCTGTTTCTTGATGCAGTCCTAGCCGCACACGCGAGCATCTGCAGGAGTGTGTCGATGGCTGCCGGAATGAAAACGAGGGCTTCGTTCACGCACGCCAAGTCTGGCTTTCAAGGCGGCCCTCGCTCCGTGTTGATGATTAATTTACTGTTAATCCGCTTGATCAGCCAGGAGAGCGTCATTGAGACTCTCTTTCAGGAGGGTTCGGCCAAGTTTTTGCATTAATAGTCCATGTTGCGATGCGGAATCCCAATTGAGTAATTTGCAGGTTTTGCATTGGGATGTTTAACCAATCCCAGTTACATTGTTTTTTTTTATCTCTGGTAGGAAACCCATGCAGAACAGAGGGAGAAAATACGGACTTCACATAGACAGGCGCCCACATTGTTGAGGTGTTTACACATTGCTGTTTTCGTGTCTCACTCAGAAAGCAGTTCCCGTGTCCCCCGAATTCAGCAGCCATTCTGCCGAGCTGGCAGCTGGCATTGAAGCCATCTACTTCGACTGGAACAACAATTTCTTCAACAATGACATCTCAGGACGTCAACGCTGCAACAAATAAAGAGCAACAACTGCAGCCAAGGGAAAACACCGACACTCTTACTGGAAGCAGTGAAAATGTCAGCAGCAGCGATATTTCACCCATAAGTCATGAATCAGGTAAACAAGCATTATTTAGCTTTTGCACTGTTACTGTCTCACAAGGCTATCACGACGGCACTGTTTCACAGTCTGCAGCACTGTCACAGTAGGGCCACATGTTGCGACGTGTAATCCCAATTGAGTGATTTGCAGGTGATTTGTATAATTTGGTAAACTTGGATCATGACGTCGGCACAGTGGCCTACTCTTTGTAAATGGTGACAGGGGATCTTTAACGTCTGCTATGAAGCAAATGGCGAATATTTTATGGTTGATATATCTGCAGTGGTAACCAGGGCAGCCTTCTGGATTCAAACCATGAACCACTGCAACAAGAGGTGAACGTGCTACCCCTGGGCCACGTCACCGCCCAGCAGCTTTATAAAAAGGCAAACACTTAGTTTTTTTTCAACGGTTTTACTTAACTTGACTCTTGTGTCGTGGTCAAATCTTGTAATCAAAATTTAGTCTACTTCCCGTTGTCCAATCAATTCCAAATTTTGCACACACTCAGATCCGGTGATCATGCATGTATCAAAATCGGCATCAATTAATCAATTAATTCGCTACTTTAAAGCAATTTACATTTTGTATGGACGCCTTATTATTTACATATATATTTGTATAGGTCAAAAACGCCGCGGTCCCTAAACTCTCAAATAGCCTCGCCCAACAACCAGGCGCCACGTGTCTCGGGCACGCCAGTTGTGAGTAAAACCGTTGCTTAAAAAAAAAACTTTTTTTAAGGAGTTTATTTAAGGTGATGAATTTTGTTTGCTGATATGTTTTATTGTTTTAAACAGCATCACCAGGTCTTGATTCCGAAGTCCATACCCTGAAGGCAGAGGGTAAAGTTAATTCTCTCCAAAGTTTAACACAAAACGGTGAAGTGGGTGATGGCTTCATCCATCAGCATCAGGACGAGGATGAAGACGTCATCACTGAAGTTTGTGTTCTCACGAAGGTGGAAGCTCAAGGAGAAAATGAGGTGGACTGAGAAATGTAAATTTGGTATCAACTCATTTTCACTGATGCACATTTAAAATTTTCGGGCAAAATTATGTACAAACGTTTGCTACTGTATTCACGCATACATTCAGACAGGTATGTTATTTTTATTCTCTACAACGGTTAATTTAATTAACGGGGCGGTTTTCACAGCCAAAGTAATGATTCATGATATGTTTCTGTGTTTGTCCACAATGATGATTTGGCCAAATTTGTGCTTTTTAAGAGCCTCTACTATCCGACACAGCCAAGAGATGTACGCGCCAATTGTTTCACCGCACCTGTGAGTTTAATTAAAATGATCACAACCAAATTTAGCAAGAGATGTTCCCATTGAAATCGAAGTTATTTTTTATTGAATGGAAGGAACTAAACTAAAATTAGATATTATAAAATACATAGCAATTTAACGGCAACATGAAAATTTGAAGTTAAAGTTTTGAGAAAATGTAAAATGTAATCCGAAGCACAACCTCAATTGGAAGTACTGAAAGTAATTTCTCACCTTGTCATGAGTTTTATTTGAGTATGGATCACGAAGCTGAAAACTTCCCATGATAATCATTAATCACATTTGTATAATTTCACAATTACTTGTAAGATCAATTCAACAAATAAACATAAATCTAAAAATGTGCTGCTGTTTTGTGGCTGGTTTAGCCCATTTACCGTATTCAAGATGCAGAGTGAAAATAATCTTGATCCTACATGGTCCAGTGACTTCACAGTGCTAGACGACTTGGCACATACAAAACCAATACTTGATCCTTAAATCACTGTTGTCAACGTTAGCATCATCTTAATTCACAGTTCACAAGAGGGCTGATATTGGGCAGCAGAGTGACACAGTGCCTTTCAGCAAGAAGGTTCTTGGTTTGATTCCCTACTCGGCTGCCTTTCTGGCGTTTTTATTTCCCACATACTAGAGAGCCAAAGATCCCCCGTATAGTCTATAGCAGACTGTTGGGGCAAGTGCTGTTAGAGGGAACTTATAAAGGCTGGTATGGCACATGGGGTGGGTGGCCAGAACCACACGCGATCGCCTTTGTCTCTCCAGTGGCAATGTTTGCACAGTTACGCATTTGATGCCGAGTCGCACTAACCGCTGTGTCACCGCTACCCACAGAACTACACCGCTTGAGAGCTGCAAGCTATTGCCTGCTCAGCTGTGTATGGCCCGACAGTTACGGAATCTACTTCCAGCTGTCAGAGAGTTGCTGCAGCCATTAGTCCCTGACTTAGCTGATGGACACCACAGGCTGGATCAAGCAAAGTAAAAATGGCAAATGCATCATGACTAGAGCAGGAAGACATGCGGGCTCTTCCCTAGGGACCCAGTCCGCATGACACCGTTGCCCAGAGATGATGCGGGCAGCCGTGGTAGGTCCTCCATCGTGGGACGTGATGGACAAAGGTTCCGCTGAAATAGCCAGGACCTGGGCTATCCACATGCTAGGCTCACAAATTCTCATTGTGCCGCAGGCCCCTTGAGTAGCCGTCACACAAAGTGACCCGACAGCGGTAGAGCGAACGGGTTGCAATGGGAAGGTTGCGAGTTCAAATCCTGTTTGGGGGGTTGACTCGGCCTATCAACCCTCCAAGGTCAATACAATGTTGGCATTCTACGCATGCGCTGATGTGTACTTTGGCACGCGGTTCAAAGTTATTAAGATCAGTGTGCATTGTACAAAGTTAGATTTTCTTAGTTTACATTTGACCAAGGTCAAAAATAAATTGCAAGTGTTCATCGGGGGGCTTAGTTGTATTTTTGTACTTTGTTGAAATGTAAACCCAATAGTTTGTTAGTTAAAGGCATTACAAGGAAGGCGTGGACACAGACGGATAGACAAAAAACAATGTCTTTAGGTAAGATGAGCCTTTAGAAGTGGTGATTATATTTGTATTTATTAATTGGGTTTGTCTCTTCTGTTACACAGTTAATTTGCATAATTACCCCAAACGGCCCAAACACCCCAGTTTCATCCCACCATCACAACTGTGCAGACATTTTCAAGACAGTGCGCAATACAAGCCACATTGAGTCAAGATTTCTGTTTGAATGGGGCTCTTCATGTGCTGGACTCGAAATCTACAGAATATAAATGCGAAATGTGGTTGAAATGCATGAGTTAGAGGTTTTTCAGACTTCTTCAATCCTGTAGAAATCCTGTGCGGATTTAATATTTGTCCTGAGAAACCTGTGACCTTTTAAAATCTGAGTGCATTATGACTCCAGTCCAATCGTGTTGAACAGCAGACTGGATTTCTTTCATCATGGAATCTGCTTCACTGATTATTTTGGATTAAGTTGATAAATAGAGCGAGGACACAATGGCCTTGTTTTATGAGGGTAAGAGAGAATAAAACTTTAGGAATTTTGCTCGTACCCTGCCTAAGAAGAACACACCACTAATTATTCACATCACCATGGAGAATTTAAGCAACAAAAACAGACGAATCCGCCCCTCAATATATCTGTCCTTTCACCTAAAAATAAACATGTCTTGCACTTCCCATTTGCCCCACAGCCCCCAGGAAGTGGATATAATCACGCGTTGCCCTTGGGAATATAAGTAGCAAAGACATATCAGAGGAAACACCTTTTCTATTCTCGAGAGAGATCTGCAAAGGACTCGTTTTATCTGCTTGTTTGATTTTCCTCAGAAGAAGCTTCAACCTTGTCATGTTAAGACGATGACTCCCCTTGCATTTGTAGTGGGTTCCCACGGAGACGTAGTTTGAGGCAACACAGTTTATTTGAAATATCGTAACACAAGGCCCTTTACCCCCGCGACCTGGGGAGGTATGGTTTCTGGGCTGACGTGCCCTATCACTGGGACTACGGGCTCTGAGTCCTCCGGCTAAGGGTGACCTAGGGGAGGCTATGCTGACCTGACCCAGCCAAGGTGCGGGTCTCGACCACTGGCCCGCGCTCGGTCCCGGCCCTTAAAAGGACGTCGGGTCCCGGGGTCCCCAGGGTCCTAGCCTTGCTGGTCTTCAGCCTTCGTCTTCAGAGCAATGCCTCGAGCCGTCCTGAGGTCCATCTTTTATATCCACCTCGGGGGCGGAGAGTCCCCGGTACCGCCCCCTTTCTGGAACCTTCCAGGGACTCTGGAATAACCCCCCAACCCCTCATCTGGGGTCGGTGGGGGGAACTCGGCCCTTTGAACGGTCCGGCTCTATCTCAGGGTGGCACCCCCTACAGACCCATGCCCGCAACTACAGGTAAGTATACATAGGGCGGCGTGTGCTATGTGTTTCCGACGCTACACATCCACTAAAATCAATAGAGGTGAATGATTTAGTTGTCACCATAAGACTTCCCATTTAAAAAAAAATCCAATTTACAAATCCTCGACAGCAGTGGTGACCAGAGCTGTGGTATGTGGTCTGCAGAACTGTTGCAGATGCGATTATGTTCACAAAACACCATCGTGTTTTACTGCCCTTGCACACCGATTTTACTTCGTCAATGAAGAACGAGCTAATCAATTTAATGGCGTTTTAATTAGCATTGCACAGCACAGTCGTTTTAACTTTGAAAAACACTTTGGTGCACGGTCGTCCACAATGTGTTGAGGACTGACTGACAGTGGGCGCATCGAGAGGCTGCGAGCCACCGCTGTACGTAGACACTGGATTGCATTCTAATTTTGCAATAAATATTAACTCGTGATTGTACAAGGGTGACGCAATAAGTGAAGAAATGACATTCGTTTTTTTCAAATAACCTTGGAGCTCTCATGGAACCTTGGAGACAACTGCAACAGTTTATAAAGTTGCAGTTGGAGGCTTGCCCCCCTTTTCTGCTGCAGACTGTGAAACACAGTGCCGTCGTGATAGCCTTGTGAGACAGTAACAGTGCAAAAGCTAAATAATGCTTGTTTACCTGATTCATGACTTATGGGTGAAATATCGCTGCTGCTGACATTTTCACTGCTTCCAGTAAGTGTCGGTGTTTTCCCTTGGCTGCAGTTGTTGCTCTTTATTTGTTGCAGCGTTGACGTCCTGAGATGTCATTGTTGAAGAAATTGTTGTTTCAGTCGAAGTAGATGGCTTCAATGCCAGCTGCCAGCTCGGCAGAATGGCTGCTGAATTCGGGGGACACGGGAACTGCTTTCTGAGTGAGACACGAAAACAGCAATGTGTAAACACCTCAACAATGTGGGCGCCTGTCTATGTGAAGTCTGTATTTTCTCCCTCTGTTCTGCATGGGTTTCCTACCAGAGATAAAAAAAAACAATGTAACTGGGATTGGTTAAACATCCCAATGCAAAACCTGCAAATTACTCAATTGGGATTCCGCATCGCAACATGGACTATTAATGCAAAAACTTGGCCGAACCCTCCTGAAAGAGAGTCTCAATGACGCTCTCCTGGCTGATCAAGCGGATTAACAGTAAATTAATCATCAACACGGAGCGAGGGCCGCCTTGAAAGCCAGACTTGGCGTGCGTGAACGAAGCCCTCGTTTTCATTCCGGCAGCCATCGACACACTCCTGCAGATGCTCGCGTGTGCGGCTAGGACTGCATCAAGAAACAGCCACTTTTGGGTTGCTCTTAACATTCGGGAGGTTTGGCAACATACCTCCCCAGCATGAGACCTTTAATAGAAGCTATTTCTGTTCGAAGATCTGCAAGCAATGGACCACTGGCCTGCACACACACATGAAAAGACAACAATCCCCAGTTTAGCCCCATAAAATGTTTAGACAAGTTAGCACCTATTAAGGCAGGTACAGATCACACCTAGCCCATACAGTGGTTGAGGGTGGTGACAGATGTAGGAATCTAGTCATTAATATTGGAAGTGTAAAATATGCGTGTCTGGGTAAATTTTGCTGGAAGGCTTCTGGCAAACGGAAACATCAGGCGGTTCCATGTATATCTCATTGCTGAGTATTTTTATTTATACTTTCTTGATTTGAAGCTTTCGTGACTGCAGGAATCCATACTCTTTGGTTCTTTCAGTAAAGTCATGTAGATATAAAATAAAATAAATCACGTTTCGGGTGCAACACAAACGTCCATCATCAGGTGGGAAAGCATGAGCTGCTGAGGCAGACTGTTTTAAAAGGTTTGAAATGGGTGTAGCCCAAGGGTCATAAAGAAGTGGGCGGTGCTAGTGATGTTAATGTGAGAAATTAGCATGTAACTCAGAACGGAGAGTGGCCTCCTCAACGAGGGCACGGAAGTGGCTATGTTAATGTGAGAGATTAGCATGTTAATGTAAGAACAAAGAGTGGTGCAGTCCAAAGGCATGAGAGCGCAATCCAAAGGACATGTGAGCATGAGAGTGCAATCCAACGGCATGAGTGCAATGCAAAGGACATGTGAGCATGAGAGATCTAAGAGGCATAGAGAGAGAGAGAGACTTTGAGAGTCGGAAATAACAGCTGCGGCCTCCTCGACGAGGGCACAGAAGTGGCTATATTAATGTGAGAGATTAGCATGTTAATGTAAGAACGAAGAGTGGTGCAATCCAAGAATGTGCATGTAACTGTAAGAACGGAGAGCAGCCTCCTCGACGAGGGCATGGAAGTGGCTATGTTAATGTGAGAGATTAGCATGTTAATGTGTTGTATGTATAGGTGTTATGAAAATTGATGAAAATAATGAAAATTAAATGAACTTTGAGATTTGCATAATTTATCCGAAATTATGTTAATCAGTGTAATTATGCGCATAAATTATGCTGATTCGAGAGATAATCGTATTAATTTATGCGAGTGGGTGTGGTTATGATGATGCAGGTCGTTATGGATTATCAGGTCGAGCCTCGGTGACGAGGATTGTGTTATGAATTGGAATAACGCAATTAATCGTATGCAGTGACGCAGGCGTTGTGAGCGTGAATGAGAGAGAGTCGATTCGACTCTGCTCTTTAATTCCGTATTATCGATAAGGATACGATTACTCTCGATTGAAGATTACGAATTATGTGTGTTATGGATTATGTGTGGTGATAGTGTGCTTATGATAGGTCCCCAGGATTCAGATCTCATACGCAGAACAATATTATGCAGAATTTCAGGAAGAATCACACACAAACCTTCTGCTTTAATCAATTTTATTTCTAGCTAACTTTAATTTTTGGATAATATGAAAACTCAATCTCGGGATTTTGGAATTTCAACACAGCGTGAACATGATACCATCACGATTACGTTGTTTCACCTCGATAGCGGCACCTGTGGTTAATTCCCGACGCGTAACGCAATCGATCGGTTGTTGAGAGAGAGATTAAAAACATGGGAACTATTCTATCAATTGATATCTTCATATTCTTGAATGATTACACAACACGGCACTTGGTCTTTGATTCGTATCCAATCCTTAATACATTCTGATATGCGAAGTTATTATGCTTGAAATCGTCAGCACAGTACCACGTTGATGTTCGTTCATTGATTCATAACGATTATGAATTTAAAGCGTTCGACTGTAATACTTCTAATTGCCTTATCAACACCACTCGATGGCCACAATGCTTCGTTACTTGAATTGTCACACAAAACAGCATTCGGTCACTGATCATGCGCGGCCCTTAATGCGATTATTGTCACGTTGTTAACAATAGGATGACTGATTATTATGCAACGCTACTCGTTGACAGGGCACTCCAACCAGTATTATTCTTGGAGGCACAAATATGCGTTTGAATTCGTTATTTCATTCGTGGATACCGGCAAGATTATGCAGAAAGACAAATATTAACGAACGACTCAGGTATTCCTAATCAACTTCTCAACGCGACTCAATGGGTGGCGATGTTTCCTTTTGAGATCCTTATCTCGGGCCAATCTTTTAATTGATTGTGGCCAGACCCCTGACAGGGAACCGGTTGAACCCGCTCTTCAACCCCGCGAGCGGCGCTCCGTGGTGAGGAGTCAAGAATTAATCCTTGTTAATGGGTCAGTTGGTAATTTATGCGGTTAGAAGTACAGCCCCAGCACAATATTACAGAGAAAAATTATGAACACTCTTAAAAACGATGGATTATTCACTCGGTCGTTGCGATGTTTCCACAATCACGGATGGTTCAATGGCTTGAGGTTTTTAGGCTTTGTTAATGACCCGTGTGTGTGTGTGGAATGGTATGAGTGGTGAAAGAGTAGGCCAATGTTCGGAATCGATTCTTTGCGTCAAGCAGACGTCTGGTTTGTGTGTAGTGGGGGGCAGTGTATCATACGTATCAGTTGATTCTTCTTTCAGTAGTTGGTTCGGACTCGACGGACGTTGGTGAACGAGTAGATGCGTTGTTGTAGCTGAGATGACCGTCTGGTAGACGGCGTTAGAAGCACGCCCGCAGCGGCGCGCTGGTGCTCCGTCGTCGGCGGTTGTAGATTGCAGGCTCACGATTCGCTCGTGGTGGCGCTGGTGCTGGTGGCACGCTGGTGGCGCGCTGTTGGTACGCGCTGGTGCTGATGCTGGTGCTGATGGCACGCTGGTGGCGCGCGCTCCCTCTCCTTGAAGACGCGCGAACGCACCCGTGCTGGTTCGCTGACAGCAGTTTCTCTCCACTGCTGGCTGAGCTGCTGCACGCTCTTGCTTGGCGTTGCTGGCCGCGCTCTTTCTCCTTGAAGATGCGCGAAAGCGCCCGTGCTGATTCGCTGACAGCAGTTTCCTCCACTGCTGGATGAGCTACGCCGGCGCGCGCTCTTTCCGCTGCTGTAGTATCTGACGCTGCGCTCGCGAGCGACAGGTCAAGTTTTCTTCTGCTGAGTTGAGTTGAGATGAGTCTTCTTCTGTTGAGCTGAGTTGAGATGAGTCTTCTTCTGTTGAGCTGCCCCCGAGGGCTGATGAGTTTGCCCCGAGGGCTGATGAGCTGATTTCAATGCTGAAACGGCTCCTTTTTATGCCAAAAATCTCTCTCCTTCTCGGCTCCCCCTCACGAGGTGGAGCTATCTTTGATCTGATCGTATGTCGGTGGGGGGGGGGGGGTTCGTGTGTCGGTGGTGGGGGGGTTCGTGTGTCAGTGTGTGTGTTTGTGTGTGTGTCATTTATGACACGGTCCTGTTCGGGTCTTTCCTCAAGCCATAAACATCAAGACAACAGACACCTCGATTCATCTTGGTGGCGTCTGGTTGTCTAATCCCTCCACCCAGAGAGAGGGGCGGGTTCCCCCCCCCCCCTTTTCCGTACGCGTTCCGACGCACAAAGGAATAGTTAAGATTTTTTTAAGTTTAACATTTCACATCACAGTTGGTATCTTATCATACACAGTTATGATCCTGCTTGTGATTCATAGTATTTGATTTATTTCCAAGTGAAGATGCTCTTCCGAGCGTATGCATTTTATCACGTGCTGCAGGGAAAGACAAAGGTGGTCGGGAGAGACAAAGGTGGTCGGGAGCACCTCTTTATACTTTCGACTTATTTTTCTCAAATACCATTTGGTCCCATGTTCGCCAAGACTCGTGTTTGTAACTACGTCTTCCCGACACCTCTCGGTTTTACCGAGGTTCGAATTGTTATGATGGAATTATTAAAAAGAAAAATAATTATCATCCTGAGTTTAAGAGGTCCATTTCTTGATTGTTGGAATCCATATCCCTTGGTTCTATAAGGTTCTATAATGGAATGTCGTGTAAGGTTAACACGTTGTTATTATTAATATTATTTTGCAATTTTCTTTAAAACTTTCTTTGCCTGGTTGCCGTGTGTGGGGTGGGTGCGTCTCCTCATCAAACCAGGCTGGCTTTTCCAGATGGCCCCTTGTGATAAGGTGTAATTCCTGCTTCTCCGCGCTGTGAGAGAGACAAAAGGTGGTCGGGGTTGCTTGGAATATTGTTTAAACTCTTTCGCAAGTTTGCTCGTTGTCTCATTCCTTCTTGATAACCTTTGATGTGACTCGGTATTCTTGCTCCAAGCTTTGTTTTAACAGTAAAAGTATTAAAGGTGAAAATCATTTGATAGCGAATTAATCATTGGATAATAATTCACTGATGTGTCTGGTGGCCTGTTCTTAATTGGAGTGAGCGTTAGGACCGCTAACTTTAGCTTATTCTTGTTATTGCATTTTAAATTTGAACTGTTGTTTAAAAAAAAAAATAGTTTAACCCGTGGGCGTCCTCATTTCTGGCTTGCGGAGGGCTTCCCTCTGCGTGACCTCCCTTAGGGCACATCAAACTCTTGTTCATCTGGAGATCTTCGCAGATAGCTGCTAACATCCTCGCCTCGAGAGTTTTATTATTTCTTTATTTACTAATGGCCTGTTTATGACCGACATATGGTTTTTCGTGTTTCTGGCTTACGGGTTTGATTCATTAAAAAAAATATATATTGTTTGTCACGAAAGAAAGGAAAAAGAAATCTAGGTGTATGCATCCGTAAATATTCTTATGGATATTAATTGTGGAAAAAGGGCCGTATACAACAAATGTAAGAACAAAGAGTGGTGTAATCCAAAGGCATGAGAGCACAATCCAAAGGACATGTGTTCATGAGAGTGCAATCCAAAGAACATGTGAGCATGAGTGTAATTTAAAGGCATGGGAGTGGAATGCAAAGGACACGTGAGCATGAGAGATCTAAGAGAGAGGCATAGAGAGACAGAGAGTCGGAAATAACAGCTGACATAGGCAGGTACGATGGAAACATCACAGTCAGTTAAGACTTTACCTGGTTAATAACGTCCTTCCAATGATTGCTCAGTTTGTAACCATCTTCTCAGTTGAAGTTGTGTCTGTGTTTATATATCTGGATGGCTTCATGAACATATCTCTGAAGGTAGCCAGTAGGTTTGCAGAGTACCTCCGTCTTGGAAAAATCTATTTTGTGAGCCCACAGCGTTAAAACTATGATCAGCAACGGCAGAGGTATTGGTCCTACCGTGTTTCAGATCTGCCTTGTGTTCATGAACGCGGTCCGAGACATGTCGTTTCGTTTCCCCAATGTAACTGCTGACATCGGGCCAATTTGTAGGTGGATGAGTTAATGGTGGAGACGATAGGACGGAGCGGGGTACCTACTTTGTGGATTTTTGGAAGGCCATAAAATCTGGGTGGTCTAGCAGCCAAAGGTTGTAGGGAATAGATACGTCGATTATTACACTTTACTCAAGAAAGGTTCAGTCTTAAGACTCTTTTTCAGGAGGATTCTGCCAAGTTTTCACAGTAGGAGGCATGATGCTGCCGTGTATAATCCCAATTGAGTAGTTTGCAGGTAATTTTTCAGCACTGCCACGTTCTGACCACTACCAATTACATTATGAGAGGACATCACAGAAAATGGAGGAATCCATGCAGAACAGAGGGAGAACATACAAACACCACGCAGAAATGTACCTGAGTAGCAAATCAAACCCACGCGCATACTTGCTGTGAGGGGACGAGTGCTACCACTTCACCACCTTCTTTCATACGATGAGTGTTCGCACGTTTTACCTTGGATACAGCGGTGTCATCTGTCAGCCGCTCCAACTGTTTTTGTTGACGTGACAAAAGCTCGTGGGTCCCTGCGACACTTGTCTGTAGTTGTGTCACTAAACACATTATACAAACATCTTAAGCCACATGTATAGTGTTATTGCATTTATTTTCATTTACGCTTGTTTACCCTGGAAACCCTCATTGGATCTCAATACTCTTTTTCAGGAGGGTCCTGCCAAGTGCTCGCATGTCGGGAACAAAGTTGCTCTGTGTAAACCCAATTAAGTGATTTGCACGTGATTTTTCATCATTGCCATGTTTGGCCAATACCAATTATAATTATTAATGATATTAATAATAAAGCCAGCAAAGCATAGGACTCTTTTCAGGCTCCTGCATTTGGGTTTTATTCTAAAATGTTTTCAGTCAATTAATAACAAATGGGAGGAAATCCGATTCGCACGGTTGGCTATGAACGGAGTGAAAGAAGTTCAAATGCATACATACAAATCAAAGACCTCAGAGCAAACCCAAGCAGAATAGAGGGAGAACAAACGGCACAGAGAAAGACACCTGAGTTGTTGCGTTATAACTATGCTATAAACTAGACTACTATACATTACACTAGTATATCTTCCAATCTAAACTACATTGTATAATATCGTATCCATAGACAAACCCCACCCATGAATTATACAATGCGTTACCATACACTACCCTATACTTTAGCCTATAAAGTATTAGACTTGTAGTATTACACTATGTATTATTCTACTAACCCTACTGTATACCACACTGCTGTATATTCACTATAGAATTATGGCACTATATATTGCCTTATGAATTATGTTAAACATTACACTGTTATACTATGTATTATTATACAAAATGCTATAAACTATACTATTGACCGTCGTGTGAAAGGTACTAAGAGGCAGTGCCAGCGAATGGACTGCAGTCTGAAAGTCACCGTAAAATACAATCAATCAAGAACCGAAATGGTTTATAACGTCTTTCCAATGGTTACTAAACCGGAATCCATCTTCTCGGTTGAAATTGTCTCTGTGTTTGTATATGTGGATAGCCTCATGAACGAATCCCTCATGGTAGCCGGATGGCTTGCAGAGAACCTCCGTCTTGGAGAAGTCAATGTCATGTGAGCCCAGTGAATTATAACAGTGATCTGCCACGGCTGAGGTGTTCGTCCTACCGTGTTTCAAGTCTGCTTTATGTTCACGGATGCGGTCCGAGATATGTCGTTTGGTTTCTCCAATATAGCTGCTACCACAGAGGCAACTTAGTTTGTAGACGCCCGGGTACTGTATGTCTGGAACCACATCTTTTACAGGCGGAACCAGATCATGGATTTTATGTACTGTGTTGAATCGGACCAGGATCTTGTGTTTATTCAGGATTTTGGAGATCTTTTTTGTGACCCTCGCAATGTAGGGTAAGGTGATGGTTTTGAATGGCTCAAGAGGATCCTTCTTCTAAAGTTAATTATTTAGTTTTAAATTAATTATTTAATCAATTAAATATTTATGTCCTTTGATACCATTTTTATGTAATATTTTTAGGTTAAGGAATACAATTGGAATGAAACACATCCCTAAATTTATGGGAAAATCCATTCCAATTAATTCAATTTAATTTTACATGTGTTTTTGATTAACGGCTCCCTCTCATAAATCGAGGGATACCTGTACTAGGCCTCAGTGAGGCTTTCCTGGGTAAACAAGCGTCGTAACCCTAACACATCACATTGACCTGTAAAAAATGTTAGAGGGCTCGGGGAGAACATGTCAGAATGGCCACGAAAAGAACACAGCCGGGAGGAGATGAAGCCATGAGATCAGCTTGAGTACAGGAGCTAGACAGACTCGCATCGCAGGACTATAAGGCATGGCGACGGTTTGTGGAGGCCTTCATCCAGCAGTAGAGTAACATAGCTGATGATGGTTATGTCAACTACTGTAGGGAAATGTGAATTACAAGCGCTTTAACGGTTGGATGCAATGCACAATTGTGCATTGCTATGCTTATGCACGCACCAGCGTGGGTGAGTGAAGCGGCCATTGCAGAGACAGTGGATTCCACATCAGTGAGACGTTGGGCTTCTGCAGCACGAACAGCCGCCAGCCACTACGCACACACAGGTCGGTCGATACTAGCACAGAAGCAAGACACCCATTGCTGCAGACAGTAAACAATTCTCATATTTATCTTTCCTGTACAAAATGCGAACAAATTAATCTTTCGAGATGACGTAAGATGATTGTACCTTGCGCTAATATGAAATATGGGTGGATGATTTTTGTAAATAACACTTTCACTGCAAATATGTCACTTGAACAATGGATAACTTCACACATAGTAAATATACCTGCTCTGTATGCTTCGTATAACATTCGCCACAAATGTGTTGTGTATTACGTAGGATACCTGCCTCTAATCTCGACAGCCTCACATGAGTGCAAGTGCTCGTGCTCTATGCATGCCTTGTACAGCCGGTTGATGCCGAAGCCGATAGCTGCAATGACAGCTGACAGAGCGCCTACGTCCCTCCAGCGCCAAGCTGGTGAGCAAAGTATTTGTAAGCACATGAGATTCAACAAGTAGATAGCTACTCTCAAGGCTCTCATACGTTTTTGAGTTCCAGAGACAGAATCAAAGTAGAGTTGACAACACAAGGACTCTGAGAGAGCCCTGTGGGTGCAGGCCAAGTGGAATGGTCGTGACAGAAGGTTCCGCTCACAGTGCCGTGATGCTGGTGGTCCTGCAGGAGACTGGGCCAAATGTTGCGCATGAGCGAGGCTGGTTCCTCCATGCACCCCAGCCCGCAGAAACACATCCTCTATCTCCACGTCTGTCAGACCTAGACACAAAAAAAAACAAAAATACACAGAAGTGAGATGTACATCGTGTGAATGTTTAAGATTTTTACAGTGAGATCCAATATCCTACGTAGAATTTTGCTAATTACTGGTCATTAACATGCAGGTTTTCGCAGATGTAGTGAGTCCAACTGAGTCGCAGGCGTTTCTCTTTAGAGGCAACACATTGATTATAATATAAACACGTTAACACAAAGGGGTAACTGCCCCTTTACCAGATACAGCCCATGGTGGTGACCACCCAGCTAACTACCCTATATGGAGGAGTTACAGCTACGAAGGGTCTGACCCTCACTTGGGTCCCGGCCACGTGCTGATGCCTGTAGAGCTTCCTGCTTGTAGGACGTAGAGCTCACAGCTTGTAGAATGCAGCGACCCCGGCTCCTCTCAGGGACCCACCTTATATCCTCCCGGTCAGGGCCGCTCCACCCTCGGCCCCGCCTGCCTTCTTTAGCGTTCTAGCTTCCTCTCAATCCCCCTCGAGAGCTCTCCCTGGACACGTGATAATCCACTAGCCCCCCCCCACCTGGGGCCTTCTCTGTGGACACTCCAGATCACGTGTCTACGGGGTCAACAAGAGTGCCATGGTCCGGGGCAACCCTGCCCCTGGGCCGACACTCTCACACTCCCCCTTGTGGGAGCCCGCACTACACGCTATGTGTGGTGCCCGCGCTATCCCAGCGCTCACCAAGCCCCACTAGGGCTGGTACTGCACCCGCCTACAGGGTGTACGCGATGACGGTGCATCGCATGCCGTGCTGTGCTAGAACCGGCCTCACACAGCAACCCACCCAGTGCCGTCCACGACGTAGGAAAATCGCACAGTGACATCCCCAATATTCTTAGCTCTTTTGGTAAAGTCACGTTGAAGGGAAACAATAAAATAATAAAATATATATAAAACAATAAAAATTCTCACGACGTTTCGACCATAACACAAACGGTCGTCATCAGGTGTGTCGGTTCGCATTAATTAATTTATTTTTAAACGGTGTATTTATGTATTTATAAAAAACGTCAGCGCCACGCGCAGCGAACCGAACACCCGATTCAAGAGCCGAATGGCTCACAGGGCTATACCAAATAAATGAACTATGGAACTATGGAACTACACCAGGGGTCGGCACCCTAAATGACAAGAGCCATTTTTTTCTGGTCTTTAATAAATAACGTCACAAAACAGTACTTAAAAGAGCCGAATGCGGCTTCAGAGCCGCAGTTTTGTGCAGCATAGCGTTGTGGTTATAGGCGGGCATGTGAGCTGTACTTAAGGGTACTGAGAGTGCTTGTTATGAACCGTGGGTTTTTCACTGACAAATGAACACAGGAGCGGTAACTGTAGGCACATGGTGATGGCTGCACAGAATGGTGTGGAACTGAATGTGCCTATAACTAATTTTGGGTGAGCAATGTGTAAGCAGGACTTCTAGCTGGTGTACAGAAGTCACAGCTAGTTGTCTAGGGGCTTCCCTAGTCTCAGACCGAGTCAATTTGACCCAAAAATGTAGGTAACGCTAACATCAGGCTACTGGTATTTGCATGGATAAATCTACAATCATGAGGTAACCAGCGTGGTGCTACTCATATTTTACACTGTTAATACGTCGGCTAGTGTCCGATAAGCTTTGTACCAAACTGGCTGAGCACGAGTTTGTAATTGTATATGTGCGAGTGTAATTGCGTCGGTGTGTTAGGTGGAGCAGGATGTTCGGGTTGTGCTGGCACTCTGCCCTATCTATAATATCCTGGAGGAGGGGTGAGCTCTATTAAAAGTGAACTCAGACTCCACCTGTCTCGACGCCTAATCTCGGAAGGCGGATCTCACCATCGCAACCCCACTCATGGTACATACCCTAAGACGTCCTGGTTTCACAAATGTTGTACACATGGAGAGCAAGGGTCTGGAGGACCCCACATGGGCCCTGGGTTCTCGCACCCGAGCCTCCCGTGACACTCACCTTTCTTGCGTAGGAACGCCCTCTGTATATTTGGAGGACTTCCAGCCACTCGTGGATTTTTCAGGAATTTGAAGGCTGTATCAACCTGTCCACAGAACCACAAACACCCCCTTTACGCGCAATATTTTGGAGTAAGGTCTAATAGTGAGAGCCTGTTTTTTTGTTTGTTGCGGTTGCACCCGATTCAAGAGCCGAATGGCTCACAGGGCTATACCAAATAAATGAACTATGTTACTGTCCGCATGTTTCAGAACTATTGGTAATCTTCTTCTTTGGTTCTTTCGGTAAAGTCACGTAGAATGAGAATAAAATAATAAATTGATAAAATGAAATAACACAATAATCAATTTATTATTTTATTCTCATTTTACGTGACTTTACCGAAAGAACCAAAGAAGATGAATCCTTGCAGTCACGAAAGCTTTAAATCGAAACTATTGGTAAGCCATGTGGTGTCCTCAGTGTTCACAACAGTACAACGTAATGAAAGTAGAGAGCCAAAGTAAATGGTGGTAACATTTGAGGTCAATTCTCACAATCCATCGATCCACAACAATACGCGTAACAAATCAAGTATTGCCAGAGGTTCGTCTGTTATGCCCGACTTGGACCCGGTTCAATTGAAACCATTGTTCTCTTCTGATGATACCCAGCCCTACATCGCCATTGAATCTACAGCTCATATCTCACTGCATCCATGGCATCTCTTATCTCTCTATCTTTGTCATTCACATCTCACTTCTCACTATAGCTACACCTGGTAAGATTTTACTTTTCGGATTTGGAACCAGCCGGAACCTATGCAGGTATTTGGCAGGACATCACCCGGCCCTCCCCCACCCTCTCCCCCCACCCTCTCCCCCCACCCTCTCCCCCCACCCTCTCCCCCCACCCTCTCCCCCCACCCTCTCCCCCCACCCTCTCCCCCCACCCTCTCCCCCCACCCTCTCCCCCCACCCTCTCCCCCCACCCTCTCCCCCCACCCTCTCCCCCCACCCTCTCCCCCCACCCTCTCCCCCCACCCTCTCCCCCCCACCCTCTCCCCCCACCCTCTCCCCCCACCCTCTCCCCCCCACCCTCTCCCCCCACCCTCTCCCCCCACCCTCTCCCCCCACCCTCTCCCCCCACCCTCTCCCCCCACCCTCTCCCCCCACCCTCTCCCCCCCACCCTCCCCCCCCAACCCTCTCCCCCCACCCTCTCCCCCCACCCTCTCCCCCCACCCTCTCCCCCCCACCCTCTCCCCCCCACCCTCTCCCCCCCACCCTCTCCCCCCACCCTCTCCCCCCCACCCTCTCCCCCCACCCTCTCCCCCCACCCTCTCCCCCCCACCCTCTCCCCCCCACCCTCTCCCCCCCACCCTCTCCCCCCAACCCTCTCCCCCCAACCCTCTCCCCCCAACCCTCTCCCCCCCACCCTCTCCCCCCACCCTCTCCCCCCCACCCTCTCCCCCCACCCTCTCCCCCCACCCTCTCCCCCCACCCTCTCCCCCCCACCCTCTCCCCCCCACCCTCTCCCCCCCACCCTCTCCCCCCCACCCTCTCCCCCCACCCTCTCCCCCCCACCCTCTCCCCCCCCACCCTCTCCCCCCCCACCCTCTCCCCCCCACCCTCTCCCCCCCACCCTCTCCCCCCACCCTCTCCCCCCACCCTCTCCCCCCACCCTCTCCCCCCCACCCTCTCCCCCCACCCTCTCCCCCCACCCTCTCCCCCCACCCTCTCCCCCCACCCTCTCCCCCCACCCTCTCCCCCCACCCTCTCCCCCCACCCTCTCCCCCCACCCTCTCCCCCCACCCTCTCCCCCCACCCTCTCCCCCCACCCTCTCCCCCCACCCTCTCCCCCCACCCTCTCCCCCCACCCTCTCCCCCCCACCCTCTCCCCCCACCCTCTCCCCCCACCCTCTCCCCCCACCCTCTCCCCCCACCCTCTCCCCCCACCCTCTCCCCCCACCCTCTCCCCCCACCCTCTCCCCCCACCCTCTCCCCCCACCCTCTCCCCCCACCCTCTCCCCCCCCCCTCTCCCCCCACCCTCTCCCCCCACCCTCTCCCCCCACCCTCTCCCCCCACCCTCTCCCCCCCCCCCTCTCCCCCCCACCCTCTCCCCCCACCCTCTCCCCCCACCCTCTCCCCCCACCCTCTCCCCCCACCCTCTCCCCCCACCCTCTCCCCCCACCCTCTCCCCCCCACCCTCTCCCCCCCACCCTCTCCCCCCCACCCTCTCCCCCCACCCTCTCCCCCCCACCCTCTCCCCCCCACCCTCTCCCCCCACCCTCTCCCCCCCACCCTCTCCCCCCACCCTCTCCCCCCACCCTCTCCCCCCACCCTCTCCCCCCACCCTCTCCCCCCACCCTCTCCCCCCCACCCTCTCCCCCCACCCTCTCCCCCCACCCTCTCCCCCCACCCTCTCCCCCCACCCTCTCCCCCCACCCTCTCCCCCCACCCTCTCCCCCCACCCTCTCCCCCCACCCTCTCCCCCCACCCTCTCCCCCCACCCTCTCCCCCCACCCTCTCCCCCCACCCTCTCCCCCCACCCTCTCCCCCCCACCCTCTCCCCCCCACCCTCTCCCCCCACCCTCTCCCCCCACCCTCTCCCCCCACCCTCTCCCCCCACCCTCTCCCCCCACCCTCTCCCCCCACCCTCTCCCCCCACCCTCTCCCCCCACCCTCTCCCCCCACCCTCTCCCCCCACCCTCTCCCCCCACCCTCTCCCCCCACCCTCTCCCCCCACCCTCTCCCCCCACCCTCTCCCCCCACCCTCTCCCCCCACCCTCTCCCCCCACCCTCTCCCCCCACCCTCTCCCCCCACCCTCTCCCCCCACCCTCTCCCCCCACCCTCTCCCCCCACCCTCTCCCCCCACCCTCTCCCCCCACCCTCTCCCCCCACCCTCTCCCCCCACCCTCTCCCCCCACCCTCTCCCCCCACCCTCTCCCCCCACCCTCTCCCCCCACCCTCTCCCCCCACCCTCTCCCCCCACCCTCTCCCCCCACCCTCTCCCCCCACCCTCTCCCCCCACCCTCTCCCCCCACCCTCTCCCCCCACCCTCTCCCCCCACCCTCTCCCCCCCACCCTCTCCCCCCCACCCTCTCCCCCCCACCCTCTCCCCCCACCCTCTCCCCCCATAGATGGACTCGTCCGTCTGAACAAAGCTCGTCGCTTTCCGTGGTGCTAACGTTGAAAAGAAAATACCGCCACCCATTTTTTCGCCATATGGCATTGTAATGTATAACGACTTATTGTTAGTAGCTCAGCTGATTGGAGAGTATATAGAGTTTATTGATAACATTGATGTAGTTTATACTTAGTTTTTTCACATCGGTGTATTGTATGATAGTTGGGTAGTTGCAGTCGTTTAGCGTCCATATACTAAATGCCTCTGTTGATATATAAACTTCGACTTTAACATAGCTATTTCCGTGACCAGTCACATGCTAATCCCTCACATTAACATCATGCTAATCTCCCAGTTACAAGCTAATTTCTGACTTTAACATCCTGCTGATCCAACACTTTAACACCGCTATTTCAATGCTAAATTATCCTGTTTGATATGTAAACACCTTTGTCAAGGCGCTTTACTTCTCCCACCTAGCTTAAAAGACGCTGCGAATCTTTGCAGCGTTCATTGAAGCGCTGTCGTCGCGACAGTTCTGTTCCTTCACCTGAAGAAGGCTACTTGAGTTGTGGCCGAAACGTCGTGAGAATTTTATTTTATTATGTTTTATTTGTATTATTTTATTTCCATTCTACGTGACTTTACCGAAAGAACCAAGAAGATGAATCCCTGCAGTCACGAAAGCTTTAAATCGAAAATTAAATGCGAAGTCATTGCTTGTCAGTTAAACAAGACCGAGCATCTGAAATCACGCGATGCGGTGACCATCTTTGTTTGATGAATGGATGAACGAAGTGTGGGTGATGGTTAATGCTCCTAGACGAGATTAGCAAGCTATTGTGATTCATTTGTGGCAAGCACTCTGTAATGAGGGAATGTTGCTGCTGCTGCAGTAGAACCGTGGGAGATTGAGGAATTCTCTCCCCCTGTTCTGCATGGACATCTTTTTCTCCAGTTTCCTCCGATGTGTCATTGGTAATGGCCAAAATTTTACACTTCTGAAAAAGATAACTGCAAATCACTTAATTTGGACCGCACTCAGCAGCAACATCACCCCTCTACTACGGTAACTTGGTAAGACCCTCATGAACACAGAGCCCTGCGACTCAGCCAGGCTTTGTTGCAGGCTATACCAGCCTAACGATGAGAATAATCACTACCGTCTGCGTAGCTCTCTTCGCTGAGTCACGGTAAACTTTTTTCCCCGAGCCTCTGTGGGAGTGCACCGCACATCGCTATCCTCCTTTGTCCCTTGCAGAGCGCCATGACCTCGTGTGGCAGCGCCACCAGAAGATGCAGGTCATGTTTGAGAACGTCCTGCCTCAGGGTTACGCCATCACGCAGAGGTGCAGCCTCAATCAGGTGCGTCCTTGTGTCTGTGTGTCTTTATGTCTGTGCGTTTTTATGTCTGTGTCGGTCTTTGTACGTGTGCTACATATACGTTGTGGGGAGTGGTGGCGCAGTGGTTAACACACTGCGCTTAGAAACGAGCGACCTGAGTTCGATTCCCGCTCAGTCACCAACACCAGTGACGATTATCTGAACCGGTCCTATGTCTCTCCTAGGTCGACTCAGCCTCAAATGAGTACCTGGTGTAGTGTATAAATATCCCAAATTAAAGAGACAAAGGTGGCCAGACGTGGTGCTGGCCACCCACCTCCTCGTGTGCCGTGCTGGCCTTCAGAGGTGGTCGCTAACAGCACGTGCCCCAGCAGTCTGTTAAGACTACACGGGGGATCTTTGATCTTTGTCCTAGTTCGTGTATAAGTGCCCAGAAGATAACAACCAACTTTAATGAAGAAAATATATCGGGAAACTGCCTGGCAGCTAATTGGGCCCTTCCTACTGAAATAAATAAATCTATCAAAATAATATCGAGATGTTTACGTTTAAGATTTTACATTAATGTTGGGGATCTTGTACTAAGCAACTCAATTAATTTAGAAGTCATCATTCCCCTCCCCCGGCTGCCTGTCTCGCTTAATTGTTCAACGCATTGGCCAGATGTCCAAATATTGCCGTCAGATGACTGAGTGTCGTTTTCTGTGACGATCAAACAAGTGGCGCGTTCCTCTAATGTGTGGCTTTGAGACTTTGAAAAAAGGTACCTTAGCACTAGTTATCGTGTAGGGCTTCACTGCATTGTTCTGGGAGAGTTCCACTCGCAGTTTTTATCTCGTGCAAGGACAGTGCAATTTGGATAACAATTCTGGACAGTGGGACAGAAGTGATGTCATGATTCTTGGAGGTGGTGGTGGCTACGCTGGTGCTACACGTGGTTGGTGGATCACACACTGAGAAGATGCCGTGAATTTCAGTTCCAGTGGGCGTCAGAAAGGAGCCGCACCCTGGCTTGCCAGGAGCGGGTGGTACAGCAAATGTAGAATCTACCTGTTCCGTCTGCATAGGATATAATGTTGCCCCCTCACACGCGTGCATTTTCTCCGGTTGCTCCGGTTTTCTGCCACATGTGAACAATCATTAATTGGCCGATAACACATTTATATGCAGAGGACTGCAGAGCTTGGGCAATTGTTGGTAGCACCGTCTCATGGTGTGCATTGCTGCTGCCTTCCCATCTATATGTGATTCCTCCTCGTGTCTCTGAATCCCTCCCTATGTCTCTCGTCGAAAGCGAGCAAATAACTGTGCAGTGATCGGGCATTACAAATTACCCTTAATATTAATTTTGATTTAAAGCCTTCGTGACTGCAGGGATTCATATTCTTGGTTCTTTCGGTAAAGTCACGTAGAAGGGAAACAATAAAATAATAAAAAATCTAAAACAACAAAATTATCTGTGGTAGTAGTTACATTAGAGAAACCAAACGACATTCGTGAACACAAAGCAGACCTAAAACACGGTAGGACCAATACCTCGGCCGTGGCAGATCACTGTTATAATTCAGTAGGCTCACATGACATTGACTTCTCCAAGACAGAGGTTCTTTGCAAGCCATCTGGCTACCATGAGAGATTCGTTCATGAGGCTATCCACATATACAAACACAGAGACAATTTCAACCGAGAAGATGGATTCTGGCTTAGCAATCATTGGAAGGATTTGATAAACCATTTCGGGTCTTAATTGATTGTTCACGCTTACGGTGGCTTTCAGACCGCATCCATTATTTTCGTCTCCCCCCTCATCTTTTCTGAACATAGATGGACTCGTCCATCTGAACAAACTGTAAAATCGCTCTACGTGGTGCTAACGTTAATAAAACCGCCACTTTTTTCAAATTTTCTTGCTGTGGTTTTCACAGCTGATGATGATTGCTTGTGTTGCAGTCGAAATGTCGTAAGAATTTTATTGTTTAAAATTTTTATTATTTTATTGTTTCCCTTCTATGTGACTTTACCGAAAGAACCAAGAATATTAATATTTTCATTATGAGACCTCCTTTGCCAGTAATAAGATATAGTAATAGGTTTTACCCTTTTAACTGGAACAAAAACTGAAACCTTTATTCAAGGCATCATGTTGCAATAACCACAACACAAGCAGTCAAAATGCAAACAAAAGAGACAACTCAGATAATAATATGCACTGTCCTTGAATTTGATTGGTCCACACCCAAGACGGCTTTTCTTAGAGCCTAGTCTCCACTGGTGTTGGACCAGAAGACGCCAAAAGGCGTACAACTCAAAAACAGCGCACTATCAGAGTATTGAGGGCTCGGGGTGAGCATTTACATTATGAGACCTCCTTTGCCAGTAACAAGATATAGTAAAAGGTTTTACCCTTTTAACTGGCACAAAAAACTGACACCTTTATTCAAGGCATCATGTTTGCAATAACCACAATACAAGCAGTCAAAATGCAAACAAAAGAGACAACTCTGATAATAATATGCACTGTCCTTGAATTTGATTGGTCCACACCCGAGACGGCTTTTTTAGAGCCTAGTCTCCACTGGTGTTAGACCAGAAGACGCCAAAAGGCGTACAACTCAAAAACAGCGCACTATCAGAGTATTGAGGGCTCGGGGTGAGCATTTAACACCAGTGGAGACTAGGCTCTAAGAAAAGCCGTCTCGGGTGTGGACCAATCAAATTCAAGGACAGTGCATATTTTTATCAGAGTTGTCTCTTTTGTTTGCATTTTGATTGCTTGTGTTGTGGTTATTGCAAACACGATGCCTTGAATAAAGGTGTCAGTTTCTGTGCCAGTTAAAAGGGTAAAACCTATTACTATTACAATATTAATATTATTCATCGGAGTAAGTTGTTGTTATTTGGACAATCGCACAAAGTGAACCTTCTGTCCCGTGGATGGGAATGCATAGGAGGAAGACGAGTTTTGGAAGAGCATGATCAGTGACTACCTCAAGCCTCTGGAGGAAGATGACGATCACAGGAAACGCGTGAAGCAGGAACTCTTCGATATAAGAAACAAGGTACTGGCAACGCGTCATCGCGAGTACCGGAGATGCTTCGATAACAGAAAATTGCGTTCCAGCGACAACGCGTTGTGCAAACAGCAGGCGTTAAGCGAGTACTTACCGTACTTGGCATGTGGTAGAAGAAGATTTAAACGGCATTGAATTACCTATGCCTTATTATTCCTACGAATTAATTGTTAATTGTTCCAATAATCCGCTAATCCTGTAAAATACATGAACAATAAAACAATAACAACAGAAGTGACCATTTGGCGTCGAGAGTGGACAGTGGGGGGAGAAAAATGAACGCACAAAGAGGGGATCCATAAACAGCCCGGGGTCATCCCCCCCGCCACTCGGCCAATGCAATGTAAATCAGGCCTGGTTTGTCTGTCCCAACGTGCAGGGCACTTTCGTCTACTTCATGATCAATGCACTGTGGCTGGTGGCGACCCTGGCACTGCAGTTCGTGGGAGCCGACCTCTACATCCAGATCCCGAGCACGAAGAACGAGGGCACGGTCATCGACGTGCTGCCCCTCGCCTTCATGTTCCTCATCACCTTCTCCAGCATGCTCATTGTCCAGTTCCTGGCCATGCTGTACCACAGGTGAGGAGGAGGGGACGGGGTCGACCCATGCGTGGCCATAGGGGGTGTGTGTGCATGCCGACTCAGTGACCAACAACAGTAACGATTATCTGAAATGGTCCTGGACTTCCCCCCTTGTGCCGTACCGGCCTTCATAGGTGCCACTCGCTGACAGCACTTGCCCCAACAGTATCTTAAGGCTATCCAGGAGATCCATGTCTTTGCCTTTATGTGAGTGTGGGCAGTGTGCTTATGACCAGCTCCGGTTTCGCAGCCGAGGTCTCACTCCGAAACAGTCGGGCAGCATTATCTTTTCATCGGCTGTGTAACACTGGGTGGAAACTACTTGGTTTGTCATTCCATGCGAAGCTCCGGATTTTCTTTGACCACATTGATATCTTCCCTTCTTTATTCTTTCGAGAAGGATGTTGAAGTGTCTAAAGTAACATCTGCACCGGTTAGAAACATTCAGGTCACCCTGCCTACAATGCATCCTGGGTTTAACCAGACTGGATTGTGTCAGGAGCTCACAGATTCTTAAAAGATCTAGACACATTCCCATTGGTGAGCTCCTCTCACAGCGTGGCTGTGTTGGCTGGGTCATGTAGCCCCCATGCCCAGCCACTGCATGGCAAAGCAGCTATTATTTGGCAGGATAGATCAGACTAAAAGGGCACCGCATGGGCTAGGGAAAAGAAGGAATGATATGGTACAAGAGGATATATAGAGATGAGTGGACTTGCCAATAACTGGTACCAGCGGTCTCAAGATTGGACACTCCTGAGGAGATGCTACTTGGCAGTTGGAGGCAGTCGCCCACCAGCAATAATGGAGGGCAGAGGAGCGATGCTCGCATCCATAAGCAGAGCACCGGGCAGCTAAACACAACAATTTGGCACAGTAGGGGTCACAGCTGGTGCATTGTCAGTCATCTCAGTCAGTCAACCATTGGCTCCTAGGTCTGTCCCGTTAACTCCTGACATTTTGCCGCCATGGCGCCCCGTGCCCCTCCCCCTTCCCCTCCGTGCCCCCCCCCCCCCTCTGCCCCCGTTCAGGTTGTTCACGCTGCTGCACGTGCTCTCCTACGTGGAGTCGTCGTCGTCGGGCCAGCAGTCAAAGAGGGGTGCTGTTGGTCGAGACAACAAAGCATTCGTCAACGATGGAGACGACGATGACGCTCAGCAGCGCAGTCTCAGAGAGATTGTCTTACAGATCCCTGGACCCCCTCCTCACACGCCGCACGTGGGTCCCCTCCCCGCACACAGCACATGGACCCCTTCCATTCACGGCGCACCTGGACCCCCTCCTCACAAGCCGCAAGTGGCCCCCCTCCATGCACGCTGCTCGTGGACCCCCTCCTCGCACGCTGCTCGTGGACCCCCTCCTCGCACGCTGCTCGTGGACCCCCTCCTCGCACGCTGCTCGTGGACCCCCTACTCGCACGCAGCACGTGAATCCCTTCCTCGCATCCTCGCACGCTGCACGTGGACCCCTTACTCGCATGTCATACGTGGACCCTTGCACGTCGTGGTTTATAAATGACGGTGCGGTCAGTAAAGGTGCAGCCCTGCAAGATGCTTCCCCTGTTGGAAGAGGTGGGAGTTACCCACGCTTTACCCCACCACCGCATGCGACCTGCCGATCGACCAACTGTGCTGTATCCATTTACGCAGCTGGGTGGCAGAGGCAGCGAGATTTAAGAAGCTTGCAGCGTCGCTCCAAATGCCAGGCCTAAGGATCGACCTCTAGATCGCAAGTGTGGTGACGAGTTAATTGCAGCAGGGCAGCCTCTCATTACAATGGAATGCAGTCAAAAGGGCTGCTGTACAACAACGGTGGACATCACTTGTGATATCATCGGCTAAAGTAAATGTAGGGGCTTTGAAGCTGCTCCTGGCCACGGACAGATAAGTCGCTTCTATGTAGCAGTGGTCAGATGAAGGAAACGTCCTGTTGTTGTTTGTATGTTCAATTTATTTTGCACTGCACTTAGCCAACCATGCTATCGTGGATGTAAACATCACCCACACATAGACTATCCCATTAACCATAGAAGTTGATCAAATCACATTTTTACGCCTGATTAATTTAGAGGTCGAGCGACCCACATGGAAATCTTGTTTTGAGAAAGGTTTCTCTACCAAACACAGAAAACGATTCCCCATATCGCTTTAATAGACTTATGGAGCTGTTAGTGAGCACCTAATAACGGCAGGCACAGCACACAAGGTGGGTGGCCAGCACCAAGTCAAACTGCATTACCGCACCATTTTATCATTTGAGGCTGAGTCGACCTAGGAGAGGCCCAGAACCAGGTTTAGATAATCACCAACTATTGTTGTGGCCATGAGTGGGAGTCGAACTAGCGTCCCAAGGCTCAAATACTTGTGCAGGGCTATGAACACGAGTTTTATTTCACGTTCACTGATGGTCAGATATAGATGCCAACATATATTTATAGATATTATAATACTCTTTGGTTCTTTCGGTAAAGTCACGTAGGTATAAAATAAAATAAATCACGACGTTTCTATTGCAACACAAGCAATCATCATCAGGTGGAAACCCAACAGCAAGAAGTTTTTTCTACTCAAGTGGGAGAGAGATGCCATGGTAAGAGGTTTCTAGGTAAGAACGGGGGGCAGGGCAAGGTGGGGGGGGGGGGGGGGGGGGGGGGGGGAAAGAGTGGGTGTGTGGGCTAGGGGGAGGCGATCGTTGCGTGGACGCTAGATTGATATGTGTAATGTGGTTTATTTACAGAGATGTAGAGTTACATTGAGACTGTGTGGATAAATAAAACAAGACAGAGAAGAAGCAGTCATCCATCCAGAGCACCACGTTCAGATGTTTCCCCAAATATTGTATTGGAGATGTGAATCCTAATTTTAATGCTAGGCAATGTTTCGCTGCTATTTGCCGCTGAGAATGTTATCTCCCTCGATCGGTACACAGGAGGTCATGCTGGACCCTGGCGGTGCCTCTGTTATACTTTTGGAGTTGGCGTGTGCTCTCGCTGTGGTGGTCGGAGCTTGGGTTTTTATCCGGGTTCCTTGGTTCAGATGATTAGACTGCTGTTATAAATTCTCACGTGTGGTGATATCAGCTACTGCGATCATCAGCTATCATTACGTGTGACCAGCTCGCCTATGAACAAGAGCTAAGAGCACAGTTGAGTTTAACTGGTAAATTAAACTGTGAATTCCCTTGCACCTTCTGAGGACGGTAGTGTCTTGGTCAACAGGTCACTTACCAAACGCTTAACGATCGATCCAAACCTTTGAGGTCCACCGCTTCGCTGGGCGCGTATAGTGGTTACGCACACGTTAAGCTCTGTGTCTTTCTGGTGGATGCGTTGTCGGGCTGGTCCCATGGTGTCTGAAACGTGGAACAGCACGAAGGCGTTGGTGGTGAGCGGTAAAACGTGCACTCCTCCCCCATCCCCCCCAGATGAATGTAGGTTACACTCCTCTGCTTGACAATAATCCCAAAGGTTATTTTTAGTTTATAACGTCGCGATTTATAGCTTTTGTTAAACTTGACAAGATTACGTTTTAGTCCATGGCAATGAGAATAGAGTTCGTTTGTAGAGAACATATTTGCACGATGCTATTTAATAAATTAACATACAATGTGGTAACACGGCACGTACTGATTATATCACTTTATTGCCTATTGTTTTTTTACTTTGCACAAATATAGTTTACTGAACTTTTGCAAGCCGTTATCAGTCATGTATTCTCGACTGCTTGCATAGAGATAGTGGCGCAGCCCTGCAATTAATCACCCCTCCGGGCGATTGAGACAGCCTGCCACCTACAGATTGCGCACAGCGCCCCACACGACTTCCAGCCGTTTGAACTCGTCGTTGGTGTAATTTGCATTCTTATCTGGAGTAAACCAACCTCCAAATCTACATATCGCTGGGTTCACAGTTTAGCGCGCTAATCAATACTGCACCACTCACTTTAGCATTGCCACATCCAAATAAATAAATGCGTATGCACCAACCGCTTGAAATAATGCCACATCGCATAGTCGTCGTGTCGACAATTAGAGAGGTAGCCAGGTTGCTCAAAGATCAGCGCTGGACTGGTACCATTGAGAAGCTGGGTTCAACCCCGGCTACTGAAACTAAACTTTTATTTTTATTTTACCAGGTAAAGTCCACTAAGATATATACAGCTTTTTTTAAAATAAGCGACCTGGCCACAAATAATAGCTCAACGAAGTGGATCATTAATCACGTGTACATTTGTAGCAGCAGTCAAATACTCTTAACGCACTTTGATTCCAAATATGGAGAACAATCCCAGCGACCGCGAAGAGAAAGAGGCATGCAATCTCCAAACAAACAGGCATAGCAGGCGAGGTAGTTAACATCTCCTAGTCACCGTGGCACCCTGCCTGTGACTGGCAGGGCTCTCCCGGTATAGTTAGCTGATGGCCTCAGCCCGGTCACCAACGATTCAAAGACGGATTGTAAAAAAACTAATTAATTGGTATTGGTTCCCCGCGACCACTTGATTTGATTTGCTCTGACGGATGGTGGTGAGTATATCTGAATATTGCCTTTATACTCAAACCATCTAACCCAAAGTAAACAGACAGTCCTCGACTTGCGAGTGTCCGACTTACGAACGCCCGCTTCCATGAAATATATAAAATAAGAAAAATATTGATTTAAAATGCGAACTTGCAATTGCAAACTGAACTGCCGGCTTACGAACCGTTCGAATTTCGAACAGGTCTCAGGAACGACTAGGTTCGTAACCCGAATACTGCCCAAAATAACTTCTGCTCATAGTTTGTGGTCATATATAGTTACTAATTATTGTTAACTGGGGATAGTACATTTGTGTGATGTAGGTGCTGGATGTGGTCATAGCTGGGATCCTATCCTTTTTCTATATTTATAGAGCACCTTTGGTCAAGGCACGCTTTCCAACATTTAAAAGCTGTAACAAAAAACAAAGTGATTTATATGGCAAGGGCAGTGCAAGGGCCGAGGAATGAGTGTCCCGAACAGAGGACATGTGGCTTCATGCAAGAGATATAGAAGGAACGGAACAAATGGAACGGTGGGGAGGGAAGAGGAAGGGGATGGACTATTAAAAAGAGGTGAGGCCTTCAGAGAGGAATGGAAGAAGGTTAGGGGTGGCCTGCTTCATGTTCAGTATCTCTCTATTTACAAAGTTCGATTTTACGATATTTCACGTTCATGCAATTGACAAATTACGTGTTCTAATGCTGTACTGTGCTGTGTGATTGTCACGCGGCCCCCATGGTGTCAGCCAGCGCTGGTCTCAGACCCTCGGTACCCACTATATCTGTTTACCTGCTATGAAGTAGGAGCATTGCTCGAAACGTCGACAATTATATACATGTCCTTTCAATGCATTGTTGTTAACGAGTGTGTTGTAGAGGAGGTTAATTGACCATACTTCACCACGCTGACCAAACCGGGTTGGTGGAGGTAGGTGAACATTGTATAAACGTGGAGAGGAAGGAAAATACGGTACAATATTTGAATTCATACGCACACAGTGGGGAGCACAGGCGTTGCCTCTGCCAGTGATCTCAGTCAACCCACCGCTCCTGGGTCTGTCCCGTGAACTCCTCCTGCACCCAGCTGGCACAGCAGTCAACCCATAGCACCTGGGCCTGTCCTGGGACTCCTACCAGTAGCAAGCCTCCCACACTGCAAGTCGACTCAAAGTGCACTTAGCCTGTGACAAGCGCCGTGGTGCCGTCACCACCACTTAATGGCGGATGGCAGCTGTTGTTAATGCACGGTGGAACAGAGTTCAGCTTCCAATGAGTAGGATGGTACGGTGTATGTGTGTATAAAGCAGCAGCACTGGAGAGACAAAGGTGGCCGGGTGTGGTGGTACCGGGTTTTATCGGTACTTCTTGCTAACAGCACTTGTCCCAACAGCCTCATAGAGGCTATACATGAGTCTTTGTCTTTGCAGTGGTTTGTGCACTGCGCCACGGTCTCTGTGACCTTTATTGCACTGAGGTCCAGGTCGTTATAGGTCCAGCCTTGACGAACGCCTTTCAACGTATTGCATGCTTCTCCAAATTATAAGACGAATCCAAAAACATACATATTTGGCCTCACACAAGACAAAGATCGCCCGTATAGCCTGAACAGACTGTTGGGGAAAGTGCTGTAAGCGAGCACCAATGAAGGCTGACACAGCACACGAGGGTTGGGTGGCCAGAACCACGCCCGGACGCCTTTATCTCTACAGTGGCCATGTTAACACATTACACCGTACCGGGTAATAATGTGAGGCTGAGTCGAAGTTAGGGGAGGCCGTGAGCAGGAATCGAACTCGGGTCACCAAGTTCGTAGCGCCGAGCGCTGCTCTTCACAATAACAAAAAGTCGCCATTCGCCACTAAGTGGTGGTGACGTTACCATGACACTTGTGCCAGGCGATGTGCACTTTGAGGCCACGTGAATTGTCGAAGACCCTCTAACAGTAGGTCACAGGACAGACCCAGGTGCCTTGGGTTGACTGAGATGACTGGCAGATGCACCACCTGTGCCTCCTATTGTGCCAACGTCCTGTATTTTTTTCGACCCGGTTATCCGCTCATTGTGAGCGTCGCTCCTCTGCCCTCCGCTGTTGTTGGAGGACGATTGCCTCAAACTTCCCATAGCGTCTTCTAGGTGCACGTATCCTGGCCTGCACAGTAGCATCCTTAACGAGCCTCCTCGCTCACTCTACACGAAGCTGCGGGTCGTGCTCTTACATGTGGACGTCTCCTGGATTATAACTTTTGCTTTAAATGCACAAGCTAAATGTGCGTCTCAGAATCGGTAGACCGCGGTAGAATGGAGAAGGATGTTGGAGTGGTGGTGCCCGCGCCTGGCACATTAAAATAACAACCCGCCGAGCCGAGTTAGATAGCAA